GGTATGAGGTGGCACAAACAAATCCCATTATAGCTCATTTGGCTGGGGGACCATATTCCTGGATTTCCCTTACCTATAAACTCACTCAATGTGATTGCTCGTAATTGCTTTCAAACAGCACACGCATACCTTCGTGCTGCAGACAGCTTCCTCCCTCAGCCTTTGCTCAGCATTTTGCATACACGTGAGACTGCAGCATTGTCTGCAAAAATAGCGCTGCTCTGAAAATATGACACTTTGGGGGCTGCAAGAGCTTTAATTTCTAGGAAGCGGAGGGGGTTGTTTTCTACTCTTCAGCTGTTCATACTATTTCCCTGTCAGTGAGAGGAGGGTAATCTGCTAGTGAATAAAAATAGAGCATGAGAGTAGACTAACTCTCTGTGCTTTCATCAGGTATACAACAATTAACCCCTTAGCAACTGTGGAAGTGCAGGGGAGTGCCATCATCCCAGCTGTGTATAATTGACTTTCTAATGATGTTGTTATCCTTGTAGAGCTAAAATGAAAAACTGAGTTTTTGAGCTCGCCACTCAAAATTATATGCTATATTTTACCTTGGTCTGACCATCTCACATGGGACAGAGGTAGGATGGAAGGATGTTCGCTGAAGAAGCTCCCTGAACTTGTAGATGATGCAAAGGACATACGTTATTCTTCTATCTGCCAAGTCCTTGTGTTTTTTCCTAAAATACTTAATTTGAATAGAATCATAGGATCTCCCAAGTTCAAAGGGACTTGTTGGGATCACTGAGTCCAACTGCTTGCTCCATACAGGCCCACTCAAGTATCGGGCCATATGTCTGAATGCATTGTCCATACACTCCTTGAAGTCTGGCAGCTTGGGGCTGTGACTGCACCCCTCAGGAGCCTCTTCCAGGGCCTGAGCACCCTCTTATGTAGACCCTTTTCCTGATAATCCAACCTAAAAAATGGCATTAATCATTTCTTTCTCTCTTTTTCACTGCTTCAGAAAAAGGCTATCATCAGCAAAGATACAGAAAAGGAGAGCATCCCTTGAGTGGATTAGGGCATTGCATGGGGATGGAGGCATGCTGAGAAGGGGCTTACTGTGGAAGAGTGGCAGAAACCAGCCAGTGAGAGTAGAAGTGGAGGAAAGGGGAGGTGTCAGATAGGGTCAGTGGAGCAGGGTAGTCCAGACCACTGCAAAGCCAGGTGGGGGGTTAGTGGGGAGTGGAGCAGCAGCAGCACGAATAGCTGATGTGGAGAGGATTGAGCCTCAGCTGTTTCTGGGGAAAGCCAATAGGTACTTGGAGAGCCTTTTGTGAACTTCTGCCTCCTGAGGAGAAAGAAGCTTGGGTCCAAAAGCAGAGGAGAAATTGGCAAGGAAAGATGGATGCTGTTTCTCACTGCCTTGCGTGTGGGAATTGCTGGTGGGTGAAGACCTGCCAAGTTTACTGCTGTTGGCTCTTCTCACTGGGAGCTTGACTGGAAGGCTGGTTTTTTCTAGTTTCATTTCTGGATGAGAGCGATGGGCTTTATACAGTTGCAGGAAAGAGTCTCTGAAAAGTTTAATCTTTGCACTCTGACTTCTATACTCATTTATACCGTTCAATATATGTTTTGCATTCTTTCTAGGATCTTGCCTTCCCAAAACATGAACAAAGTATCTCTTTTTTCACATCTCTACATTTCCTTTCATGTCATTCATGCATGAAATGTAACTGAGAGTATTTCTGTAGGAGTCTCTTTCCATATTGACCTTTCACAAGAACTATTCATTTGCATGGCCAATATTTTATAGCATGGAGTTTGGTTGCTTTTCTACTGTGATTTATTTATTTATTCACTAAAAACATTACAAAGGCACAAAGCACATTCTTTTGGCCTGCTGAGAATTGCTTGACATTTTTTATATTAAGCTGTGATTCACAGTAACCAGGAGACTTTCATTGCCTTGGTCTTGTCACACCGAAACTATGGCATGGAAAGGTTTAGGGTGAGTAACTTAACCTTTCTCTATTCCTCCTCCCGTTCTTTCCCTGCTGAAGCAATGATGCCCACACCTTATCTGCTGTGCTAATTTGAGTACTTGGTAAACTAAAAGTAATTAACAGGAGTGTGGGAGGTCTGCTCATTTCCTTTAATTATGTATTCCCAGCTAAACTTCTTAATTTCCTCTGTATTTATGCAGATGCTGCCCCTCACTGTTTTTGTGCTTTACATGGGCAGCAGTGGTGACTCCATTTTCAGGCACTGTATGTCCCTAAGTGATAGAAGCCCCCTAAATCCTGCTCCAGCAATGGCTCTGACTTGGGAAGAGGCACTTGGGCAGCAGCTCATCTGTCTTAATACTGACGGGCTTTTCTGTGAACAATAAGAAAAGTTGTCTTTGTAAGGTTAATTCTCAGCCATCACCCAGAGAAGAGAACATCCTGCCCAAGGAAGGCTGCCAGGTACATACACATGGTGTTTCTGCAGCCCTCTTGCAGCAGCAACATTTTCTTGTATTCAGATGCAGTAAGATTTTTGTGAAAAGTGGCTCAGTGTAACTTGGGTACTGTCGTAGGGAAGGAGGAGGATGGATTTTGTCACAGACAAAAAAATAAGCCATGCAAGTTATTCCAGGCTTCTCATATTTAGTCCCACTTGCTCACAATGTGTAGAAATCCTGAGTGTTTTGTTTTTATTACAGCACAGCCACATACATCTTGTGCAGTTCCCTGTTAAAACATTGTACCTTGCAGCTGCTAGCTCCTATTTCTCAAAGCTGACATCTGTGTAGCTGCACAGATTGGCCATGTAAAACAGCTCTCATGTTGACCTTGTGTGACTCCTAAATTAGGACACTGAAGTGTGATGAATCAAATGTAGATGGTGCAGTGATGCAAGCAGTAGTATGTTCAGGTAGTCTGCTTATTTATCTCCATTTGGTGTAATTACTTAGTCTGTCACCAAGTAGAAATGCTTGGCAAAATATGGTATTGCTTATTTGCAGCAGAGATGTGACCATTTGGCTTGAGGGCTCTGGCTTTGTTCCTCTGTATGCACCAGTAGAGGAATTGTCTCCATGAAGCAGCAATATAAAACCATCAAGCTCTGTTAACTACTTCCAAGTCTGCGGGAGAAGAATTAACATTTGTTTGAAATTATGAAGGAGCTGGGGTGCTTTTTTTTTTTTCCTGATCCAGGGCTGGATGTGTGTGACAAAGACGTAAGTAAGCCTAGAGCTGCTTGCCCAAATAATGCTAGAAGACTCAGTAAATTCTGTTAGATTAGTACTCTTACGAGTACTTACCAGTCACTTCTGTGGCTGGTTTTTCTGTCATCTGAAGAATGCATGTTAGACTGCAGCAGCCACTCCTACAATCTCCCTATCAATAAAACCATAGAGTATGTTTCCCTCCATCCTATGTAATGTACCACTGGAGCCTCAACAGAAATACTGATTTTAACAAAAATTGGGTTATGCTCTGCTACTTACTCCAGCATTGTTCCTAATGTTTTTGCTGAGTGTTAGCAAACCTCTTTTTGTTTTTATTTATTTAATTTTCTGTTGGCTTGTTATCACTTCTAAAATAGTTGGAGGCCAGCTTTGTTGGCATAGCCCCATCAGTTTGGATTGTGAAATATTCACACATCCCAGCCAACACTGCTGGATGGGCAGCATGGTGTGGGTACAGCTGTACTGACAGAGCTGCGTTTTCCTCTGCTCCATTCGTATAACTCAGAGAGCTGGTGCAGTTCTGAAAATGCATGTGCCCACTGAGGGGCTCTGGTGACACTGCCATCATGGTGGAGTGATAAGGGGATGCAGTTCCAAGTGGGTGACCTTTGAGGAATGACAGGCTGTAACGAATATATTTGGCGTCACTTGACCACAAACGGCCAATGTGTAATACAGACAGAAGACAATGTCTGCAGTGCTCTGGATTTGCCCTCATTATTTTAATGAAGATAAATTTGGAAGAAGCATTCTGTCTTCTGTTTCGGCATTCTGCTGGCTTTTGAAGTAATTAATGTATTTCCATTCTGCTTAAAGTCGTGTGTATGTTATAGATAAAGAAACTGCCTGGCTGACATCAACTAAAATATTTATGTGTGTGTGTGCATGTTTGAAATGAAGTCGGGAGATTTTTTCCTTTAGCTGAGGCGCACGTAGGGAAGCAGACAATGTCTGATGTCCCAAATAATTTTGAATTCCTTGTCATAACTAATGCACACTAAAGTTGGCACAGGTACTTATGAATAGGACATTTCTGACTGAGGCTGTGGGATTTTTTTTTTTTTTTGGAAAATTCTTTCTGAATGTCATATATTACACCGAGAACTAGGATGACCTGAATTTTTACTGTCCAATAAAAGAGACGATGGTGCTCCTGCTAAAAGCTCTTGGTGTAGACAATGAGTTATCTTTTCATATAACATTCTAGCAATAAAAAAGGTCAGTGGAATGCTGAGAAAATGCTTTTTTATCCATTTTTATTCCATGTGAGATACTAAGCTCTCACATTGATCTCAGCAAATGGTTTGTTTGTATTTCCCTGTATGTTAGACAGAAAAGTATCTTAGAATTAATCCACAATATTACCAAAGCAAGAAATGGCTACACATTTGGCTTTTCCTCCAATGGATTGCCAAAATCTCAGCTCTGATAATCCATTGCAGGGAATATTTTTACCATTGTTTGTTACCACCGTTGCAAACAGAGTACACTCTGTTTTACTGATATATATCCTCACAATAAATCTGAGGTTGTGATTTGTGAAAGACAGAATAGATCTCTTAATTGATGTTTGCAATATGGCATGTGTTGACTTATTTTAAACTCCACAGCAAGACCTGAGTTCTTACGAAAAGTGAATTTGCCCCATTCAGTTGATTCTTATGAAGCTCCAGATTAATAGATCCGAAAAAATTAATGAGTTGAAGTAAATCATTTCTGGATTGGGTTTGAGGTTTAAACAGTAAAGATGCTATTTTAGTAGTTATGTTTATTTTTCAAACATGATTTTTTTTTTTCCCCTCTTCATTTCCCACAGAAACGTTCCAGAGGTCAAGTGCTATTCGACAAAGTGTGTGAGCATCTGAACCTTTTGGAAAAAGACTACTTTGGGCTAACGTACAGAGACGCAGAAAACCAAAAGGTATCATACAAAATGGTGATTTTCCTTTGGCATGTGGATATCAGAGCTCTCCTGAGGCACCCTCAGACAGTTGCAAACAGTACAGAAGCTGTTTTGTCTTCTCATCTAGTTGTATATGTGTACCTTGAGTTATTACTTTTATAACTCCTAGAGCATCCCCTGGGTTTCCTTGGCTTCTGTCTGTGTGAGCATGAAAGAATTTAATCATACACCTCATTCTCCTTCTAGTTTGATTTGTTACATTACTGTCATCGATGAGAGTCGGTTCTGTGTTCCTATATACTGCTAAGAATATAATATTAATATGTGGCTTATTTAATAATACTAGCTTGTGGTACAGATAGGCAGGAGTACTTTCATTTCCAAGAAATCTTGACTTCCAGTCTTGACCTAGCTTAACATAGCATTGTTCATTTGCCTAAATGCATAAGCAATTGACAGCAATAGTGAATCCCATTCTGCATTTCTACAGCTCATGTTTAGCATTAAATGAGCTGTGTATTAACAGGATCAACAGAGTGCAGGGTGATCTAACGCTCACGTAATATGTGGATTATTGTGGGCACGTTGTGATGAAAGTGAGAGTATCAAAGAATACTTCAAGTGCTGCATGGTGGGGTTTTTTGTTTGTTTGTTTGTTTTTGTTTTTTTGGACATTTTATGATAAATATTTTTAAAGAATTCAGTAACAAAACTTCTTAACAAAGATCACCAGGTTAAGTTACTTTGTGCTTTGTATGGTCTCAAAGGTCTTCCCTGATAAGGCTGGAGTTATTACTGCCTCTTTAGTTCCTTATGTCAGGTGAGAACAACAGCTTTGTTTTCTAGGCTTCCCTTTGTTTCAGCTATATATGATGCATAAGAAATGAGTGGGTTCTTTTTCTTCCCCTTTCTTACTGATTTCTAAATATGAGGATTCTGTTCCTGTTTTGGAAAGTCACTTAAGCAGACCCTTAAGCAATCCGTGCTAGTCCAAGATAATACTTAACCATATGCTTAGTTTTGCATTGTAGTAAAAGTTAAGCAAATGTCTAAGTACCTTTCCAGAGAGGAATGCTTTCCTGTACTGGAAAGAAAAAAAAAAAATCATTCATTTTAAACAGGTAGCTTAGAAATGTAGATCATCACTTACTTTAGAGAGCTAAACAGCTGAAAATGGAGTGAATCCCACATTTATAGATCAGTAACATGCACATTTCTAGTGTCAAAGTACTTAGCAATCTCATCTCCATCCTTTGCCAGACACCTTCCAACCAGAATATATGTGCGCACATCATGAGTCACATTTGAATATAGAAATTTAATGCACATTTAATTTCTTGGTGCATAGTGTGCTTTTACAGAAAGCTTAGAAATAGATGGAACTCCTCAGGCTCATGTCTTGTACCACTAAATGCATTTGGACAGCTGCAACCTGGTTGTTTTTCTTGGGTGTAAGGGTTGTTGTGTTCTGCCTGTTTGATATTTCTGTAATATTTTTTCTATGATACATATGTTTTTCTTTCTTTGGACAAAGTGGAACTTTCCTCAGGGAGGTGGACTTTTTGTTCTGGGTTTTGCAAGGTATATTAAATATTAATTTGATTCCATTAGAAGATGAGACAGAGCTGTGGGGTCCTTACCTTCCCATATCACAGAGGCAGGGCAGGGGGCTCTATGAGTTGCCAGCTATGGCCATGGTGGCTGCAATAAAGGACCTCAAATTCCTGCTTGCCTCTGGAGGAATTTGGTTTTAGTCAGCAGTGCTCCTTGGCAACCAGGGAATAGTAGCAAATCGCAGAGGTAATCCCTCAGTTCCTCAGTAAGGCTTTGTGTGATCTCCTTACAAAGCCACCAGGTTTGGGGCAACATGGATGAGGGCAGCCCTGACAGCAACTCTGCTCCTGGAGTTGCCCTCATGTTTACAGGGAGTTACAAATGGGGCAGTGTCTTATGGCACACTTGCACATCTTCTATGAAGATCGGTAGCAATCCGCATTCTGAAAGTTACCATTACCCCTGTCCACTGTTGCTCCAGAGAGAAGAAGGTAGGCATGCAGATTTTCTAGCTTTGTCTTATAGCACTGTTTTTAAAATAATTTTGATTGTGTTTTCTAACTCAAACTGAAGAAAGGAAACATTTTCTTTTCAGAATTGGTTGGACCCTGCCAAGGAAATCAAAAAGCAGATTCGAAGTAAGTTTGTTATCGTTGTATTTTTCTTTCAGTGGTTCTGGAAAACTTTTCCTTTTGGTATACCCAGACCCCAAAATTGAGAAAACATAAGCTTCTTTGTCTCCAAATTGTTTTTATCTTTTTCACTGCTAGCACTAGACACAGCCTTAGTTTCCCAGCCAGTGTGGCCTCTGTACATATGGAAAGCTGCCTCACAGATACCTGAGGGTTGGAGAGCCTGTTCCCTTGTTGGCCTCCATCATGCAAAGGGTCTGGCTGGTGTCCCTGGTGTGGTGTCCCATGGCTTGGTGTCCCAAACTGGAAGATCTTGGTGGCAGGTGAGCTGCAGAGCTGTAGCATCATACATTCCATTGTGGTTGCAACCCCCCCAAAAACATCCATAGGAGAGGTGTCCTGACACTGCGAGGCACAGGGGCCTGCCTCACTGCACCTTCCTGTGGGAAGAAAGCTTCTCACCTCAACCCTCTGCCCACAAGAACTGAGGGGCAGGTGTGCCACAGACCCCTCATCCCTACCTACATGCAGAATCACAGAATCAGAATTGAGTTGAAAGGGACCATCTAAGGCCATCAATTTCAGATCGCTTGCAGTAAGCAGGAAGACACCTACTAGAGCTAGATCAGGTTGCTTAGAGCCTCATCAGCCTGACCTTGAGTGTCTCTAAGGACGAGACATCCACCACCTCTGTAGGCAACCTGTTCCAGTGCCTCTCTACCCTTACTGTAAAAAACTTCTTCCTTATTCAGTTCAGTCTGAATCTCCCCTCTTTTAGTCTGAAAGCATTTCACCTTGTCCTTTCACAACCAACCCTACTTAATGAGTCTGTTCCTTCTTTCTTATAGCCCCCCTTTAGATACCGAAAGGACGCTATCGGGTCTCCCTGCAGCCTTCTCTTCTCCAGTCAGAAAAGCTCCAGCTCTTTCAGCCTGTCATATACATATACATATACATACATATATATATATATATACACACACATACACACACGTATACTATACTTATATATATGTATATACATTACTTATTTGTGCTACTGATGTTTATATCAAATCCAGGCACACTGTTAGTACGTGGGTACTGAATTACTATTCTGACGCAAAGATAACACTCTAAAATACCTTCCCTTCCTGCATTTCAAAAGCTTGAACTTTGCTTCTGAAATGAATGTTCAATTCACAGAGAACCAGTCAATTTTCTGCTTCACATGAATATTTTTAAAAGTCCTGTTGTTAAATTTAGCTGTCTGCTACATTAGAAATTCAAAAAAGTATTGAAGGAAAACTGTGTCAGGGCTGCCAGGCTCAAAACTTGACCTGCCTTTTTTTCACCCTCACTTTTTCAAATTGATGAAATGTTTGTGTGTGTTACTTTTTTTCATTGGAAAACCTGAGTATTTTTTGTCATTGCCCATTTAGTAAATAACCTAGTACCTGTGCTTTTATAAGCAAACCCATCTGATGGTTCACATATCTTGGATCAGGCCTGGCAAATGAGTCAGTCCCCTCTCTGGGATTCAGAGGGTTGAATCCTCTGCTGCTGTAAGCAGCTGCACCTTTCCACTAGTGTTATTTTCATTATAAGTAAATGATCAGCAAAGAAGAGCCATGAAAATCTGTGCTCCATTATATGCTTTTTCTTAGTCCATGAGGAAGATGCTGGAGACCTTGTTAAGTTATGCTGATTGTCAGTGCAAGGAAAGCAGCTCGGCTTCAAACTGCTGATGTGAAATGCATTAAATATGTGCCCAGGCTGTGAATTGGACAGTGAAAGGTTGTGACAGTGAGAGATTAACCAGGGCAGAATAATGTAGAGCTGGATGTGGAATGGGGACAGTTGTATTTGCAGGAGAAGACAGTGATAATTTACTTGCTCTGAGAATTCACCATGGAAGTTGGGAACAGGAGAAGTGTGGAAAAGTAGGATTCTTGTGCACGACACATCATAAATGGCACAAAACTACATGTGTGCTGTATAGCACTCAGGTACTCATGATTCTACTGCAAACAGTGGCAATTTCTTTCCAGCATCTGAGAAACAAGGCTGTCACTGTATCTATGGCCTCTGGTTGTGCCCCATTGGTTTTAACTTACTGCATATTATTTAAGCCCCTGTAACTGAGGGGAGAAGGCTTCTTACTTCTTATCTTAATCAGCCATGTTTTGCATGGGGTGAGATTTCCTTGAGATGTCTACGTAAAATATCTCCAAACGCCCAATCACGAAGATCTTGCAGTATTTCCAGTCAGGCATTCACTCTGTCCAGCATATAACCTTTCTACACCAAATATACTTTGAAAACTTACGTTCATTAGCAGGTGCCTGGACACAAGGTGCCTCTGGATTAAAGGTTGAAAGTTCATCAGGAGTCCTGTTTTTCACAACATGCACAAGCATTTTCTTATTACACAGCCAGTACAGAACTTTCTGAGATAGACATTTACTTAGTTCTAGTTAATCTGTAATTAGATTATTTTCTCCAATAATTTCTGAAATATTCAATCTATTTCAGGAAATTTAAGTGTCATTACTTCATCTTTGGTTTCTCGAGCGCAGAAATACTTATGTACATAACTTATGTACGTATGCAATGCATATTCCACAATGAAGGCCTCAGTGGAAAAAAAATGAGATATTACCATGGTGCTTATTAGCATTTTCTGGTTTGGGATTTAGTTGCTGCTTTTCATTTGCTTTAGAGACAAGAATTAGTATAACCTCTCTCTTGTTAAAAAATAGTGTTGATATTTACATTGCAGTATTTAACACTTTTTTTTTTCCCCCAGTCTTTATATTCTTATGAACAACATCTAAAGCTAAATCTCCAAAACACTTTTTGCTAAATAGTTGCACTGATGCAAGCCACTATCCCACAGGTCACCTAAACTGACTTGAAATTACTAAGTGGGAATTCCCTCACTCTGTGCTTAAGGCCACTTTCCAGCTACAGTCTCTGCATTTGTTCTTGCAGCATTCTATCACTCAACAGTGGCTGCCATTCTGCTGCTCATTTGAAACCTACTTTGCCATGTTTCCAGGGCCTATGTGGGAATTATTGCTTTTAGAGTTAGCATAAGCTGTGTTTTCAGATGGTTAATTCCAGTAAATATTTTTGGTTTTTTTTTTTTTCAGACCGAATTTTTGTAAGTAATAGCAGTGAATTGCTACTCCCTTAGGGTCCTCGCCTCAGTGAAAATCTCACTAAATAAGAAAAGAGCTGTAAGATCTGATCTAATACCATAATTGTGAAAGGGAAAATTAGTATCTCCAGAATGGTACGCAAGAAAAAGATACTATATCCTATTCTTATTAATTTTTTGACTGGATTATTTTTAAGTTTGCTGGTAATCAAATAGCATGAACATCTCCATTTGCACTCCCAGTGCGCTTTCCGTAAACTTGTGTTCTTTTCCAGGTGGTGCTTGGCAGTTTGCATTTAATGTGAAATTCTACCCTCCAGATCCTGCCCAGCTCTCTGAAGATATTACCAGGTGTTTAAAATATTAAATACATTTCTAGAAGGGCCTTAAAAAGCTGTTCTTGAGAGCACTTATTCTCTAATTATCCAAGAAAGGGGGTGTTTTATATTCCCACTGACTTGCTTTCTCTTATGAGCTTATGGAAAATATGTGATGCTTTGACAGAAAGGACACTGTGAATACTGTTTGGTTCTCTGAGCTCAGACAACATTTTTCATTTATTTATTTACAATCTAACACCACAATCAAGCTTTTCCCATATATGTGTTCTGGAGAATTTATTTTGATTTTTCACAGAGATTCCCAATGTTTAGTTTTGCCAATGGTAACAAGATTTTATTGTCAGCAAAATCATAACTATGAAAGAGGAGAACAAGCATGATTGTAAATTTTGTGTACTGTTTGGCTAGGTGTGTGGTTGGTGTGCATGGTATGATGAATGCGGTGATAATGAGCTCTGTTGAAGGGAAGGATTGCTTTTATCCTTCTTTACCCTTATCCTACTTTTATTGCTTTTAATTAGGTTCAAGGTACACAAACTGTATCTTTGGTAAAAATATTTGAAACCTTTTCTTATTCCTCCCATTTGGTGCAAATCCGTTTTCTGTACCAGCTCCATGTTGGGGTAAGCTGTGTTGGCTAAGACATCAAAAATCATACCTCACCTCCAAGCAAGGGTCAGTTGGCATTAGGCTGGCAGCAAAGCTCTTGGAGGGGTCAGGGTTTCTTTCTTGCCCTTAAACCTCCCAAGGTAACTACGTGTCTTAACCGCAAAGCCAACGCTCTTCAGTTTTTCCTGGTTTCTTCTAATCAGTGCTTACCTCTGTGCTTTTAACATCATTTACTGTTTAAAGGTATTTTTGAGAAAGCTTCTCAGTTTACTAAAGAAACATCTTTTCTTGAATGCCTTAGAGTTTGGCTGTCCCTTAGGGAATGTTATTTTATGTTTCTCCTTAAAGAAAAAAGTTATCAGTTAGCTGTATCTTAGTGATGTGTTATATAAACCTACGGATAATTCTCCTGAGCCACCAAACAAAATGACAACATATTTTATCAAGAAATCTCCATGCAGCTTTATAATGATTAATTAAGCTTTGCTACCCACAAGTTAGGCAAAGGATATTTTTAATTCTTAATTCTTGCTAATGCAAGAAGCTTTGGGCTTGGGCATTTCCGCCTCTCAGAAGTGGCTCCTTTGCTGGTGGGGCTGGAGGAGCTGTGTGTGAGCAGAGGCGGTGCTCCTTTGCAGGTACTACCTCTGCTTGCAGCTGAGAGATGACATCGTGTCTGGCCGGCTGCCCTGCTCCTTTGTCACCCTCGCCCTGCTGGGCTCCTACACTGTGCAGTCTGAGCTTGGTGACTATGACCCTGATGAGTACGGCAGTGACTACGTCAGCGAGTTTCGCTTTGCACCGAATCACACTAAAGAGCTGGAAGATAAGGTGATTGAGCTGCACAAGAGCCACAGGTAGGTGGGTGGAGACTGTAGGTGTTGCATTTCAATTCATATTCTGTTTCTTTAATATCACTGCTCAAATTGGTTGTTTTTCTTCAGGGGAATGACACCTGCTGAGGCTGAGATGCATTTTCTGGAGAATGCCAAAAAGTTATCAATGTATGGAGTAGATCTCCATCATGCCAAGGTATGGACTGCAGTTCTTCTTGCTGGGAACCGACAATGGTCATCTTTCTCATGTACCTGAATTTGCATGGACTCTGATTTATTCTTTCTTGCTGTTCTGAGACAGGCAGATTGGGGGATAAATCACTAGTCAGTGTGAGGAAAGGTGACTCCTGGGATAAGCATCTTGTAACTGGAACGTGATTCAGCCTATAGGCTATATGATGTTTCACATCAACACTCTGTGCGGAATAAACAGCCAAACCCTTTGGGAAAAAAATGGACACAGTAATCAGAAAGGATATTAGAAGCCATCTGGAGAGTGATCTATTGTCATTTCCTTCAGCTACGTTTTGCAATTTAATAAGGCCAAGTATGGCATCTTAGCTAAATAAACAGATCATTTCCAACATGCAAAGAACTCTGAAGCAGTCATTCAGCTGTGCTGAAGACCTAATCAGATTGATAGTCTCAGGGAAGCAGCAGCTGATCTCTCTTCTGAATTGCGGTCATTTCAGTTGACTAGAAGGGTAGAAATTTTGCTGGAAACATTCTCCCACAATGAGGAGATTTCCCTAATGATCAGCAGGTTAAGGTAAAAATCAAAAATGGTCATTTCTCTTGTGGCTTGGGACAGTGACCTGCCAGCTTTGTATCTGGGGCTTTTCTTTTTTTGCCCAAATAAGCAATTACTTCACCCTCCATTCTTCAACTCTTCTTCACTTATCAAAGTAAGGTTAATGGATGTTAACATCTCTGAGGTTAGCAAGCATCCTTGGCAAATGAGTACCAAACAAAGACTCCTGAACTGTGCAGAGCATTTTCTGTAAAGGTCAAATTGCTGTGAGCCTGTTTTTATGCTGCAACAGATCCTTTCAAGAACTGAGATAAATTTGCAGTTTGGATCTTGAAAGGGCCTGCAGCCTTTTCCCTGGGGCGTTTCATAGGAATTGTGCATGTGTGTTACAAAATTCAAAGCAATATTTTGAGTTCTGTTAATTACCACTACTGAAAATGAAAAATCTGGGTATGGCTCAGTGGGCAGCACTTGACCAGGAGGCATGCTGCTGCCCTTCCTGTGTCTTGCAGACAGGCACAGAATCTTGAGGCACTTTTGGAGCAGAGATAGAAATGGATTGGTGAATCCATGGTGAATCACTCAGTAGCTTTTTTTCAACATCCTTTGTCCAACACAAAGAGATCTGCAGAACAGCAACGAAGTGAGTTCCTGTTCTCAATATACTACGAGCTTCATTACTAAAATTGACATACCATGGCATTAAGGGATGAGTGTTTTTCTTTTTAAATACTGCATAAAGGCCATGAAATTTAAGTTAGGATGTCCTGAGATAACCTTTCTTTTCTCCTCCTTACAAAGTATCAGTGTCCATTTTTACTTTTCTGTTCTTTATCTTGAAAGACTCAGAGAAAAGTAAGTTGGTAGGCAAGCCAATGTCTCTCTGAAGTAATTTTCTTAATATCAAAAGCTGCATTGCTCACTGAATTGGGTATGTCTGTGGATTAAGAAACCCAGTAGCAATCTCAAAAATGGAGCTAAAAATGGGAAAATTAGAATCGGCATGAGAAGTAGCATTTAGTTTTAATTAGGCTTGCCGATGGGATGGGATGGTATCAGGCTGCTGGACAAGTGTCTCTGTGGGTGCCCTTTTGAAGTCATGCAGTGGCAGATGTCTCAGTGTCAGTGTCAATTCATTAAGGCTGTGCAGGTATCTGAGGTATTCAACAGATGCTGGGCTTGCCAACTGCTGTTAGAGCTAGCTCTCAATTAGCCAGCACAGGGCTACAATTAAAATTGTGTTCAGATAGACAGATTTGTCCTCTGGGCTGTCAGCTTTCTGACAAAACCTCCCATTCGTATGTAGATCTGCAGGTATGTGCAGCTTGGTGTCTCCTGATGTTACAGCAAAGAGTGTTGTGTCCTATGGCTCACAAAAAAAAAAAAAAAAAAAAAAAAAAAAAAAAAATTCCCCCAGGTTTTGATTTGCACCAGTAATATCACACTGAGAAGCAGCTTTTGATACCTACAAACAAAAAAAGGCTTTGAATGCATTGAGATCTGCTGTAAAGGTGGAAAGGAAGAAAGAAAGCATTTCTCAATAAGGTTTTGGGCAAGTATAGCAGAAATAGCAGCCCTTCTATCTGCAGTTATATATCTTATGTAGGCATGTGAGCATATAAGGATCATTCCAGGCAATGTGATTACAAGCAATAAGACTTCATTTTTTTTTCAAATGTATTTGCTGTACTTAGAGCTTCCTCTTAGCCTAGGAAATTGGCAAACTGAACTCCAGCAAAAAGATTACTTTTTTTTTTTTTCTCTAGTGGCCCACCATGACCACATATACTGAGAAGATACCTTTGTGGTGTGACACTATCTTTGCTGGAGCACAACATTCTTAACTGATGTGTTTTTTAACACTGAAGTGACCTTGTGGTCCTAATTCTGTGTTACATATCTGATTTTAAAACATCTTTTTTTTTTTTTTTTTTTTTTTTTTTTTTACTTCAAGCAGTGCTGTTGCTTTCTTATATCTGACCACGTATGCCTTTGTGCTCGTCTTAAACATAATTAGACTTCTATTGGGTGGGAAAACTAGTAGCAAATTATTAATTCATTTCTTGATTATCACAGAGTGACATCTTCATAGCTGCTGTTGTTAAACTTGTAACTTTAAGTTATTTTAAAATAATTACCAAAGGACTCTATTCTTTAAGACAAACATTTGTTTTCTCCAACACTGTTAATGCTTAGCTAAATAAAAAATAAAATTACACAGGCTAGTGGTGATACTAAACACTGAAGATTGGCTTAGGCTATTTGAAAGCTTCTAAAGGAAAGCGAAGAATATAGTTCTTACTTAAAATACACATCTATTTAGGTATATTCTAATAAGATTTTGGCCAAAGCTTTTATGATGCTAACATGCCTGACCTACACTTGCTTCCCTGTCAAAATGAGTTGTAGAACTCCCAGATTTAAAGTAATCTTTCTGATCTAAATGGCCAACTTTATGCCAACTGGTAATTTTACATACAACAGCAGAGAAGTAAGGAAGTAAAAATACTGAACATAGGCAGAACAGCATTAAAGAAGCTAGCAAATCAGCCAAAACCAAGAGAAAAAAAAAAAACAGGAGAAAAATTGGTCTGATCAGAGCGTTTACTCGTGGAGTGTGGGAGATGCTGGGACTGGTAAATGTGTATGCAGTCCTACTTATTTTCAATCTTGCATTTACCCTAATGACACTTAAGTAATTAAAGTGTGCAATATGGTTAATATCATTATTTTAATACCATATACAATGTTACTCCCTCCTTTTGTAGTTTTTCTAAAAGATGACTTCTGAAACACGGACGTTCTCTCATTCTGCCCAGCCTTACTGTTCCTTGCCTGAATGCAAGGAATTGTTGATGAGTAGGGTAGCACTCAGAAATAACATTGCTGTAGCTGGTGCATTAAGAACAGATAGCTCAGGTAGAAACACAGTATATGAGTGTCTGTATTGGGATTTAAAGAGAGAGATGTTCGACGGTATATGTTGCCTGTTGTTCCAGGATTCTGAAGGAGTGGAAATCATGTTAGGAGTTTGTGCAAGTGGCCTCTTAATATACCGAGACCGACTCAGAATAAATAGATTTGCCTGGCCAAAGGTTCTGAAAATTTCATACAAAAGGAACAACTTCTACATCAAAATCCGACCAGGGGAGGTAAGGAGATCCTGACACTCCTCAGTGAACAAATCTTTTCAAAAAAAATTGTGTTCTCATTGATTTGTTGATTTGTCGTGTCTTTAACATTCCCCTTCATTTATATCTTTTAATTTGTGGTGATTTTCTTAGGAAAGATTAGGTAAATACTTTATTTAAAATACAGGTAAAATTTTCTGTATTTTTCTGTTTACAATCCTGAACTCACATAAACAGCAAATATATATATACTTATATATATAAAAAAAATGCTGCTTGCTTGCAAAGAGCTCATTCATACTATGAATACTTTGGGAATTTAAGTAACATTTTGCTTATTCATGGAGTACTCATCATCCATCATCGTGTTGTGTATTGAGTTAGTGTCTGTTCATATTACTCACTAAGACATAGATAGGTCATACCAAATTTTATAACCATATCATATTGTGCATTTGGAGCTCGAGTCGAAATCCAGAAACTGATAAAAACGAGGCCAACATCCATCATTCAGCATTTTGCTGGCTACATGCTTTTGCCCTTCCAGCCCCATAGAAGCTCACGTTCTGACCCGGGATGCAGTGTGAAATCTCGTATCGTGAGTGCCCTCTCGTGGTTCAGCCTGATGCATAGCAAATACACCGACAGTAACGCGTTGGTTTACCTCCTGTTAAGCAGGCACTAACACAGAAATAGGATGATAGATCATAGCAAAAATCCCAGGAAGAGTTCAAGATCATCATTAACAAAACAGTGTCTCAATTTCAACTGCTGGTACAGTAATCAATTTGCAACAGATTAAGAAAAAAAAAAATCCATTTTAAAGGTTGGAGCTATACAGCAGGACAGAAGTCATTTGGTTGAAGACTGGCATTTCTCCCTTAATGAAATATTGCAGTGGGAATCCTGAGCCAACTACTGGCTTCATAAGTGACCTGGGAAATCTGCTGTGGCCATCACTGTAACTGGGACTTGAGCAGTTGCAGAGTTGTTATCCAAAATCCACAGTCCTACATCTTCTGTCTCACAACAGACACAGTTTTAACAACCAACCTCACATCCTGAGTTTAATTTAAAAGAAAAAAAAAGAAGAGCCACTGATGTGCTCAGTTCTGCACTCAGGCTCTCCTTTTGAGCTCTGCTGGTGTTGACATGGTGCTTTCTGTGACCTGGTCGTAGTTAGTTCCACAAAATGATCAGTGCAGTCCATTTCAGATTACATTTGATGATAATGTGAGTCACCATCCCGTGTGTTGTTTCAATCATCTTCATCATTTCTGCTGTTTCCTGACGTGTTTCTCTCTTGTCAGTTCCCCATAGGGATCCAGGCTTCCTTACAAGTGCCCTTCTACTTTTCTTTCCCTGATCACAGCAACGCTGTTTCACCTACTCAGCTATCTGCATGTAGTCATACAGCAGTTGCAGCTGTCACAGCTTTTGCACCTGTAATATAAATCTGCAGCACAATCTAGAGAGGTCACTTGGTGTCCCCAGCTAACTCTTTCAATTACGTGCTTTTCTTCTCATCTGTCCCAGGATACAAATTAGCTAAAAACACTGTGACTTACTAACTCTAGTTCTTTCACTCTAATTCTCCTTAATACAAGGCTGCATGAGACCAAATCAGTCCCAGGAGACTATTGCTCCCCTTCAGGCTGTTATCAGGCTTCCCACTGTTCTCTAAACTGTTGAAGTTAAAACAACAGGATTAAGACATTCACATGTTGTTTGTTTCTCTCAGGAATTTCCCAAGTTTTTACTGATCATTTTGTTAGTATAGTGCATAAAGCATCAGTGTCACCATCAAAAATGTTTTGCTCATTATCTCCCTTTTCCCCATAGAGCAATCTCCAAAGGCTGCCTTTGGTTACCACTCCCAGTTTCCTTCTGAGACTGTAGTCTGTTGGATGTATGTATATATATGATGATATACATCAGCATATACTTTATCTTTTCACTTAGATTGTATAGATAGGAAATTAAGATGAACTTATGTACCTGTGCACACTGCCTAACTATAGTTGCACTGCATCAAAAATGTACTTTTTCTTTTTCCTACCCAGTTTGAGCAGTTTGAAAGCACTATTGGGTTTAAGTTGCCAAATCATCGTGCTGCAAAGCGCTTATGGAAAGTGTGTGTTGAGCACCATACATTTTTCAGGTATGTGGATGTCATTTCCTAAAGGTGTGCCATAAGATCCATTGGAAAATTGTCAGCAGAGACTAAAGCCTCCAAATCAAATTGTCTTTTTGATCAAGAAGTGGCTCTGAGCACTCCATAAAAGTACTAAATGTTTAAAATCACCATATGGTTCTTACCTTGCTTTATCTCTGCATGATAACATCAGTCACTATAATAAAAAAGCCTAAGGACTCTTCTGCACATATATTTCTCTGTCTAGGTAGAATAATGTATATGGAAAGTTACTGGGAAATATGAATAAGAGTGAAAACAAGGCAAAAAAAAAAAAAAAAAAGTTAATTACAGATGAAAACACAGACAGTAACTTGTATTGTACTTTTTGGTCACCTATAGTACCCAGCCCATAGATGTGAGTTTTACTTTACTGAGGAATTTTGCAACTATGCATATATAGCTACTTTTTTGATATCTAAGAAGACCTGAAAATAAGTATTCAGTACTTAAAATTCCCTCTCAAGTCAAGTGAAGAATTTCTCTGCTGTTCCAAAATTATTGGTCAAGCTGTCTGCATGTTTTTATAAAACTTCATCTTAGTATCACAGGGTCTAAAAAGAAATTGTACATTTTTTTAATGTACTTTTAATAGGAAGTTGGTTTTTAAAGCATAAACTCCATAGCAGGAGGATGGATTCTTCAGCAAACTCCATAGCCAAAACACAGAGGGCGGGAAGGCTCTAACCTGAAAAATTTTACATCCTTGTTAACAAATCTGGCCCTAAATTCTTAGCACTTTAGTTAAGAGATCTTACAATATTATATGTGAGGCATTGTTTGATTCCTTTTTCTGGCATAGACCTGTGAGATGCAGGTCCCAGTGGTGTTCTTCCTTCTGCAAAAGTAGTAGGCTGCTCTGTGGAGTATGTGGAATGATCCCTGTGTGCTCGGTGTGTTTTAGGCTCCTTCTACCTGAAGCACCTCCAAAGAAGTTCCTCACACTGGGCTCCAAGTTTCGTTACAGTGGTAGGACACAGGCTCAGACGAGAAGAGCCAGTGCGCTCATAGACCGGCCCGCACCTTACTTTGAGCGGTCTTCTAGTAAGCGTTACACCATGTCCCGCAGCTTGGATGGGGGTAAGGTCTTCTTCATTGACTCGGTCAGAAGTTACACTCGTGATGGTCACTGCTTTAAATTTGATGTAAACTTCTTGTAATTTCATACCTCCTGAGCTTCTGCTGAGAGGAGAATGTAAGTACCTGTACATTCGCTACGTACCGGTGATGGAGGTTGTATCACTAACGGCCTGCTTGTGTGGGAGGAGGCATGACGTATAGTTGTCTGCATAACTGGACTTGGAAATTAGGTCCATAAGATTTTGCAGTGGGAATGTTCACCTGGGCAGTAGAGGGTAAATCCCTCACATGACGGTCCTACAAAACTTGCTGACTTTCAATAGGGCATCTTCTCTGTTGTCCTGGAGCCTTTTATGAAATGACTGCTTAAGATGGTTTCTCAGGAGCCACCTCCCACTTAGGAAGTCAGTGAGCCCCAAAGAGATGAGCAGGAAACCAAGTCCTTGCTTCATGACTTCTGCTCCCTTTCAGCAGAGAGAAAAGAGATCTGACACCAGGACCTGACAGTATTATAGGGAATGCGGCCTGTGGGTTGCCACAAACAAGCTGTAGATAAAGAATGTCCTAAATTTACTGCTGCTGCAGCTACAAGGTGTTTGCCTGCAGGATGTTTTGGGACTCTGCTCTTCATGGGCCTCACTCCTTGGCCTCGTCCCTGCATCCTTTCTTGCTTGGGAAAAGAACGAATTACCAGATCTGCCATACAGGGCTTTCCCACTTGAGCAAGTCTGACTTCAAGCTTTGTCAGGATTTACAAGAGTAATTGCTTGGGTTTTGATAAATTTGGCCTTTTTTTTTTTTCATATGCAGTTTTTCAATTAAATATATAGTTAAATTCACATATTGTTTTCCTTCATACAGTAATAACAAGCATCTTAGTTTGATGAGCCCTTTTTACATACATCACTTTTGAGCATGTAAGATAGAGAATAACATAGGCAGGTTAATAGAGGTCCCTCTTCTCCTCACTTTCTCTGTGGCTTGTGGAATCAAGGTTTGCTGCTCCTCTAAGTTAGGCCAGCATGTGATGCAGACTCTCAGCTACTTCATCAGCTGTTATTGTCAGCTACTGAGTAAAAATAAGCTGCAATTTATTTTTGTAGAAAAAAAAATATTGAGACTGAATTTAGAATCACTATGGTTAAAAAAAAAAAAAAAAAAGGGGGGGAAAAAAAAAAAAAGGGAATTCTCCAGCCAAATATTACCAATGAGTTTCAATGAATATAGTTGATGGTGGAGGGGGGGAGGGGAAAGAAAGAAGCATTGATTTGAAAGTACTAGTGACAAGCCTACTTTTCTCCCCCCTAAAGGTTCTGCTTGTCATTAATAATTTTGGAATCTTCTAATTCTGATGTGCTTCTTGCTTGTTACCAAGCAACTGGTGACCTGATTGCTGTGCATGTGTCTCAAAGCAGAAATTACCTTCTGCACTATTTTGTTTGTAACATCTAAACAAGATGTCTCCCTTTACTTGTTTTGCTTTCTCCCACCTCCTAAGCTCTTTCCCAAGAGACAAAATATCTGAAAGCTTTTCCTGAGCATTTGTTCAACTCTGCAAGATTTTTATTATGGTAATTTGCCTAAGTGCAAATGGGGAAAAGATTTTTTTTTTTTTTTTTTTTTTTTTTTTTTTAATTAATGCTTATGGTTTGTTCGCTGATCTTTTTACTGTAACAAAAACATGCCAATAATGTTCTGCATCATGATTAATTACACTGTGATCCTGGCCCTGTGGTTTGCTACACATGCAAGTAACTTTACACGTTTGATTAGTCCCGGTGAATCAGTAATTAATGGCAGAGCAGAGAGCAGGATCTGGTGTTTGTGTTACATTAGTGTTTGTATTACATTCTATCTGTATATTTACTCTCTATTTTGAAATCCTTAATATATGATTAAGTACGATGAATTATCAAAGCATTTACATCCTAGAAAATTCTGGTTTTATCCATTGAATCGAATGCCATGACTTTCCAGAATTTTTTAGGATAACGAGTTCACTTAACCGACAGAATTTAATACTTGATAATTGAAAGATCACATTTCGTGTCTCTCAGATACTTCATGTGTGTTACATCAATATTGTCATCTCCTGCAGTGCAGTGCATTATTTACCCTGCATTTGATCTGTACTGCTCTATTCTGACAGATTAAAAAAAAAAAAAAATCTCTTCCATCCCCATGGCTGATGTTTTCCCATATGTTTTCAGCCTGATATATATAGCAATGCATTATTTTTTTCTGATTGCTACTCTGACTAGAGTAGCAATGGCTTGCTAACATTTAACAACTATGTAATGCACACATTAGCTGCAGTAATGTGTATATATGCATCCATAATATATGTTTATGCTTATAAAAGCTAAGGGCTTTATTTCAAGTAAGCAGTTTATTTAAATGTATGCACAGGCTTCTGATTTTTTGACACGAGATGTAGCATTGTTCTCAGCAGTATCTGGATGTTTTACTAACCCAGCTTTTTAATTTTATGCAGCTTCTCAGCAAAAGCTATTTCAGACTTTCCCTCTTTAAATATTTGCTTTTAGCATCAGTGAATGAAAACCATGAAATGTACATGAAGGATTCTGTGTCTGCTGCAGAGGTTGGTACTGGCCAGTACGCCACAACAAAGGGCATCTCTCAGACCAATTTGATAACCACTGTGACTCCGGAGAAAAAGGCAGAAGAAGAGAAAGATGATGAAGAGAGCAAAAAGAAAAGAGCAGAGGAAGTCACCCCCATCTCGGCAGTACGCCATGACACAAAGGTAGAGTTCTTAGGGGTTTTTTTGTTAAACTGATCTGCTTGAAGAGTGCTCAGACCAGCACAGAATTGTTAGGAAGGGAGAAGATGCTTCCTGCATTTAGAGGAACATAGAATATACACAATATACGTATACGTATCTAAATGTTTTGAATCAATATTTGTATAGTCCTTTTGCATTTCATATGATTTAAAAGCCAATTCTTGCATCAGAGTGTATATTTTGTGAAGCAAATCCATTTAACAGTGGATCAAAAAATAGCCTAGAAGTGCATATTTTGCTCTTTTGGTCTTCAGTTGTATTTTTACTTTAGTGTGGTTATCACATTCTTTTACTTTTTGTCAGGGCAACAAAGTAATTCTGTGTCCTTATACATAGCTCTATTCTTTAACCCGTTGTACTTTTCTCATTCCTTTCCCATAGCAATGTATTTGCCTGTATATATTTCAGTGAATTTTTTTCCTATCATCTTTCGGCTATTAGCACACTATTATAAGCTGATTATCTGGCTTACAAAAGCATTTACTTTATTCTAAAGTTTTCACCAAAGAAAATTGTTTTTTTGATGATTCTCTCTCTACTCAATTGCTAAATTTGGCTTGTCTGTCACCAAGCTCAATCCCACTACCACTGCATATAAGTAACACGCACAGCTGCATTTACTGAGATACTAAGAAGGGGTAAATCAGAGAGACGGAGAAGATGCTGAATTTCTAAAACTGATAGTGAGGATAAATGAGGTAGAATAATAAAAGACAGTGTAGAATGTCTTTTTTCTCATACTTTGAGGAGAAAAAAAACAATACAGAGTATTGAATATAGGATATCATTCAAAAAGTTTGCTAAGAGACACATTTACTAAGCAACATTTGCGCCTCTGCATTTGCGAGGAAGAAACTGCATACCTTTATACCTACAAAACTGATCAGGAATGCCACTCTGAGAGCCTGAACTTCGAGCCTTATCACATAATGAGGTACATAGCAAAAGGTACAGGTCCTCAAGTAAAGAGCTGCACTTAAGGTACAAAAATCAGAAATGAACTGAATTACTGAAACTGCAGATGAGAAAAGATTTTCTTCAATTGTAGAACTAAAAAGAGAATCTCTGTAGAATTTAACTACAGTCTCTTTGCAACTCCATTAGTTTCTGCATGGAGAAACATGGATGAAAATCATATATGCAGAGAATATCCAGTTGAAACTAATTCTGTTCTGAGTGTTAATTTAGGTCAGTGGAGAGGTTCAGCTGTATTTCAAAGATCACGTGTTCCTTGGAGATGGCTAGAAATAGTCAGAGCTATTTTTAGGAAAACATCTTGATAATTCTTAAACACACACAAATGAATGACTTCTAATCCCCAGGAGGTGGGTTCTGTTTAAACCACCTGTTAACAGTTTCAGACCTGTAATTATATAGTGATCTTAGTCCTGCTTCACACTGGACCTGCCAACAGTTTGTCATTCATTATGAAGAGAACAGTCTCAAGAAACACGGGACATGATTGAAATCATATTCCTGTTCAAGGCCACATACATTGATGCACACTTTTCCTACTAGGATGTTTTTTCTTTGCTTTATCCATACTTTTTACTCATTATTGTAAATATTAATGCTGCAGAGATGTCCATAAGTGAATAGTCTGCATTAGCAAAGAAGAAATTTACTTTGGCTTTTTTGTCTTTACAGCATGGAAAGAAATTCTGTGTATTTTGCTCATATAAAGTTCTATGAGTCCATTAGCATTCGATTTTGGCTTGCGTTTACTGCATTAAGCTCACAAAGAAGATATTTGTTTAAGTTGGCTTGTTTTTAGTTGCTGATTTATGGAATCTAAGTTGCCGGAACTGGTAGATTTATCTAAAAAATAAAAACTTAACCTGTTCCCCCATGAGGGAAGAGAGAGAAGCAAAATATTAGGAGGAAGGGAATTGACGTCTCTATGTAAACATTGGGCTGAAATCCCATTCCTGCTGTTAGGCAGGTTAGGCTTAGTAACTAGCTTGATGCCACCTGTATCTAAAATTGTGATCCAGCTTATTGGCTCAGATTTTTCACCAGCTTGTGCAGATAAAGGTTATTTTGTCTTTGAATCATTTTGCTCCTGGGAGTTTGCAGTGTGAGTGCAGTTGAGATGTCTTTGGTAAGTTCAGCAAGAAGACAAGCAGTGGAGCAGCTCAGGTAATTGGCTTGGTCAGTGAGCCAGTTTGTCACTTCACCTAAGTGCACCTAATTGACTTTAGCCAAAATGCCAAAATTCCATCAGCAGCAAGACAGGTTGTTGGCACCGGGGTGTTTTGGTGTTGACTGTGATTGAAGATTAGTTGTGGCTCTCTGCTAGGAAGTGTGTTGTATGTCAGCTAGAAGCAAGTACCCTCCTGAATTGCATTCCTCTTTTTGCCCTTGAGTTATCTTAAAGAATGGTTGAATGCCGTGCAAGTGTTGCATTAAAGCAAATCCTGCTTGTTGGTGACATTATTGATTGCAGTAAAATTTGTAACAAAAGCAGTGGGTATATTATTGCTTCTTCATAAGGAACAAAAACTCACTTTTTGACTGCAGAGAAAGTGTCTTTGCATGGGGCCAGTGTGATGGGTGCATGGCTGTGGGACTTGGGCAGAGGAAGTGCTGCTCGGGTAGATATCAAACTAATACTGACCTATAGGTTTATCTGCCACCAGATAAAAGCAGAATATGTTTGAGTTAGTTTTTGGATATAGCATTTTTTTACATGTTGTAATGCACTAAGTTAGACACACAGAATTTCAACTCTTAGGGTTTTTAATAATGATCAGTGGTGCTGTGCCTGGCATAGGTGGGAATCACATGGCTCCAACTCTGTCTCCCCACGACTCGAGTAAAGGCAGCACCACAAGCACTGTTGGTACTAGGAATATGTGCCCCTGTTTGTTTGTTGTACTTCATGTTTGAAAGCTCCCTATGATTTGAAGAAAGTTGTGCAGTGGGCGAAAATTAGCAGCACCATCACCTCCACACATAGCTGTGAAGATTTTGATTTAAATTGTGCACTGCAGATGACTAGACAAATGCTGAATCGAGATGTTGCCTTTTGTAAGCTGTAACCATTATTCACTCATACGTGTAGTGTGCAGCATGGAAACGTGCAAAATTTAACTCAGTTAAAAGCTGTAGTGTTAAGATGCTGTTTATGATTTTATATATATATATATATATCTCTTATTTATCATCACGGAAGAAAATTAACTAATGACAGTTTTCTTTTTGTCCTTTTGCTTTTGCGCCTTGTTTGCTGCTCTTTCTCTGTCCCCAGCCACCTTTTCTTGGCACTGACTCACTCCACTCCTCGCCATCCCCACAGCCTGGTCCCCATGCATCTTCAGCCAAGCTTCGCAGGAGATGCAAGGAGAGCACTCGAAAAAAGCCCTTAGGCTGTGAGTCACCCAACGAGGGTGCTTCAAAGCACGGGGAGGCAGAGCCGGACTCCGACAGAAAAGGGAGAGTTTGCTCCGCAGAGCAAGACGTGGCTTTCGGCTATAAGCAAAAAGCCGGCAAAGGCGGGACACTCTTTTCCTTCTCCTTGCAACTTCCTGACTCATTCCCTTCACTCCTGGATGATGATGGCTACCTGTCGCTCCCTAACCTCTCAGAAACCAACCTCCTGCCTGCCAGCGTGCAGCATTACCTTCCCATCCGCTCTCCCTCCCTCGTGCCTTGCTTCCTCTTCATTTTTTTCTTTCTGCTCTCTGCCTCTTTCTCAGTGCCATATGCCCTCACTCTCTCCTTTCCTCTGGCTATGTGCCTCTGCTACCTGGAGCCCAAGGCGGCCTCCTTGAGTGCCTCACTTGCCAATGACCTGAGTGACAGTTCAGAGGAAGAGGTGTGTACCTCGGCATCGAACACTCTTTTTTGTGTTCAGTGCTTCAGTCCTAACCAGTGTTAGATTGCTGCAATAGTGGTCCTACTTTCAGAGCCTCATTTCTGTCTGTGCTGATATGTTAGAAGGGATGGGGTGTTTTTGGTTTGGGGTTGTTTCTTTTCTTTTTTTTTTTTTTTTTTTTTTAATTTATTTTATTTTTTTCTTGTGTTGGGAGTGCAGCTTGGGGCCCAGGGTTAGGCACAACACTGTGTGTAAGTGGCTTGGTTCAAACTGTGATGGCTGATGCAAAGTGACCTTCGCTAAATTGTCACCAGTCAGCATTGAAGCCTCTGACCCACCAAGATCTGTTTGGCTTTTTTTCTCCTGTGTCTTTATGCTAGGGTGTGTTAGAGTAGCATTCTAAACAGAGGGAAGGAAGTACAATTTGATGCATAAGTATGTAAGTCTCTCCAAAAGTAATGCTTCCTATTTATTTCCATGGAAATGACTACAGATACAAAGAGTACAATTACACTATTTGATAGAACAAATTCTCCACTACAAAACACTGTTTTTCAACATAACCACCACCATTAGCTGTGCATTTTATCCAGAAATGAACAAGACCTTGCATGCCACCGCTTGTAAATATATGTACCAGCAGAGGTGACCCACCGTCTGTCACCACTGCTGAAACACACCACCCACCACCTCACTATGCTTATGTCCACTGTTTGGTCTCCATTAATGTTCAGCAAGCATCTATGACTGTCAGTGAGTGCCAATTTTGCCTGTGGAGGAATTAAAATCCTCTGCTTCATACGCACTTCCATGTCAGGCACCATTCTTTCAGACTGCCCCTCTGTTGTCGTCTGTCACACAACATCAAAATGTAATAAAGTACTGGCAGAAAAATTCAACCTCTGCTGCTGTACCACCAACATCCGCCTCTGACTTCATGGGCCAACACTTTGGAATAAGAGACATTACTTTTGGAGCAGCCCTCATATATATGCATGCACATGTATGTATGTTTATATAAGCAGTTTGTCAATGAGCGTCCACGCCAAGTTCAGGGTGTTTGAAATTGAAGAAGGCTCAGCTTTTTGCAATAAGCCATTAGCCATAGCACAAGCCTAGAAAGGGTTTTCTGGTCCAGTGAAACTTGGATCTGGATTTTAGGTCTCAGCCCACTCTCTGCTTCAGGTAAAATTGTTTTCCTATACTTAAATCCAGTGTATTAATGAGAGTTCACATTGGAACAGCTGTTGTGCAGCTGCTACCAGAGCATGCCACGTGGGTCATGTTAACTTTGCAGTGTTAAATTATCACCTCCACAATCACTGCCTCAAGTCACCACGATTATCATCACAGATAATAAACCAACTGCAGAAGAAGAACATACAGTGCTTCTGAGAGCGCTGGACATGGTAATATATCCAAAAGAAGAAAAGGAATCTGTTTGTTTAAGTAACAGAGTTATTTTTGCTGGTGCCTAGATACTCTTTGTGGGCAGAATACAATAATGAAGTAATTTTTTCTCTTTTCTCCCCCCTTTCCCTTTCTCCTCAAATGCACAAGTATGGTTTTTGCTTTGTATGTGACAACACCAGATCAGATACTTGCTGACCAGCTGGCTATTTGTAAAAAGTTGTATTGGCCACTGGTCTATGCCATTGCACTGGTTGTCTCCAGTAAACACCTTGTGCATCTAAATGTTTGTGAAATCTTCCACAATGGTTTTTTTTTTCATTTGTTTGTTTTTCTATTACTTGGTACAGGATTTCATTTCCTTTTGGTGGAAAGCCAAAAGTTGCATCAGTTTATCTTGCAAAAATATTGTCTTTAAATGCTTTTGGCTCTGTAATGCCTAACTAAGAAGTAATGAGGTGCAATTTCTGATAAAAAGTGTCCCAAATTTTGCTGTCTCATTTCGTGTCTTCACTTTGAAACGGTGTTTATTTCTCAATTTGCATTAGCTCTGTACTAGGATTAATCTAATAGCAAGAGCAGTGTTAATACAGTGCCAGCTCCAGAATGAGGCAGCATTTATATAATGCATTTGTCTGCTCTTCTTTCAGAAATGAGCACTTCTTACTGAGTGAAGTTTTGGAAGTGTTACAAAGTAGAGTTTTAAATGTAGCTCTTTTGTAAAGGTGATTACTGTGGCAGTGCTTTCTGGCAGACAACACAGACTTGTGCCTAATCCGGGGGGCATTTCTTGTTCAAAACATTGCATGACAGTGAGTATGTTTTAAACTTGGGCATGTCTGCATTACATTGGCAAAACAAATCACAGCAATTATGATCGCAAACTAGAGGATGTGCAGCCACAGCATTTCAGGAGGTAGCTGCTCTCTTCCCTTCCAGTCCCTTACATGCCCACAAACACAAGCAGCAGCTGCCTGTTGTTGGTGCACTGCAGCCTGTATGATTTGAGCCCAACCTTTCTTGCTCCTGAGGAGACCTGCCTTGCTGAGCCTATTAATTCACCATTCCCTGCTCTGCAGTCGTCTTCACTTCAAGTGACCCAATAATGCCAATTTCTGCTCCGTGGCTGTTGGTTGGCTTTTTAGCAGACATGTACATTACAGTAATCTGAGTTTTGTGCCTTATTTAGGCTTTTATTGCTGCTATGGGGAAAGAAATAAAATCTTCTTCCCAAAAAAATGTGCTTCCAGTTCACAAAATATTGGACACAGTGATGCAGAAGGCACTTAGAAGAGCTACACTCAGTGTTTCATACCTTGCTGAGCTCAGTCCTCCCTTAAACGATGCAGGAAGTCTGGAGGAACTCTGTGCAGTCAGACAGGATCTGTCCTCTTAGGCTTCTTTACATTCTCCATTGGTACCTAGCTAACATTGCTATTAATATTTAACTAATGCTCCCAGCTTCAAGTTCTTAAATATGCAATATGTGTTAGACAAAAAATGTCTTGACAGAAATGTTTTATTTCCTTTTAGATGCCTAGGTTCATCAATTCCTCTTTTTTTTTTTTTTTTTATTATTTTTTATGAAATAGGAGTAAAAATGCATTGGTTTTGTGGGTTTTTTTTTTTCATACTGCCATGCTTTTACAACTACCCGTGTTATAAAGAAGTGAAGTTCTTTGCTAATAAAGAAACAATTTTCAAACTTTTTGTGACACTTTAGTGAAAGTAGCTTGCCTGGCTAAGTAGACTATTTTGGCAGTATAGTTTTATTTAAAAACAAAAGTGGTCTGCCTAGTGAGTGGTTATTGCTTGAAAAATTGCATCTAGCTTGCATTTGTGCACTTACCCAGTAGTTCAGAATATCTGCTTATTCTTCTGCCTGTCACACAATTACAAATTATTTGAAGAAAGGAATAGTAAAGAAAAAGGCAATGAAAACATATTCAAAAAAGTGTCTTTATGAACCACTGCAGTTGTCATAAAATGACAGAAGATAAAAAATTCAAAGTTAAAAGTGAAACTGCATCCGTGTCTCTCAGTAGGTTGCCTATTTCTCCCATTTCATGTTGATGTGATCTGAGGATGAGATGTGTAGATCGTCTAGAGACCGCAGAAAGTCAGTAATCAAAATAAGAGCGTCCACTGATGCTAAAACAACTTGTATGTGCCAGTCTGGGACATTAGAGAGTATTTTCTTTCCTTAATAGTTTTCTGCAAGCTTACATAACATCAAAAGCAATCACTCAAGCTATCTTCCCAGCCTGTAATAACCTACACTTGACTTGATTTATGCCTTGACATGAGCTCTCCTCTAAAACTTTCTTCATGGTGTCAGTGTTCTACAGGAGCAAAGCAGGGACAGAACAGTGTGAGCAATGCTGTGCTTTGTTTCCTTTTTATCACTTGTACCTAGTGAGTGTTGTTGGGGGGAGGAGGGAGGGAGTTACTTTTTATTTTTCTCCTGCTTTTATTCATATTCTGAAATGGAATGAGAAGTGTGGTTTTTTGTTTTTTGTTTTTTGTTTTTTAATGATAGTTCTGTTTCTTTTTGCTGTTGGTAACAATATCAGCTGCTGTTTACTGGAACCAAGTGGGATCTGAGCCCTACCATTACTCGTTAGACAGGAGGGGATATGGTTATTTCTACTCCTTGGTAATGCAGACAGCCTCATAGTGTGTAAATGTGGAGACAAGACAACTTTTCTGTACAAATGAGGGGCTGAAAGTCAGGTGACTGTTCAAGTAGTTTTTTTCTTTTTAATAATCTTTTCCCCCTCCAGATAAAAGGTCAAACACCACATTAATCTCTATTGGCCAGAACAAAAATTTGATAAACAACATTTTTTAAAAATCATTTTGGGAGGAAAAGTTTCTTTAGAAAATAGAATTTTAATTTAATTTTTATTTTTATTTTTTTTAGATTTAGATTTTTAAAAGCCACCTGGCTTTCTTATGAAAAAAAAAAAAAAAAAAAAAAAAAAATCTGCTATCCAAATAAGACTTATCCAGTAATGTTTTGTTTGGCTTAAAAATTTGTTACAGTAACGCCATATACTGTGTACAGTACGCCTTAAGTCTTCCTCTGAGTCTGTTCTGTTTACTAATATAGCACCTTTATTTTGCTTCTTTGACTTGTGCGTGGTTTGAAAAGCAATGCTAATGCAGTTCACAGGGATGTTGAATTTAATGGCTCCCTGTGTGGCCAGCGTGTACTGATGAGATGGGTTTATTCTTTATTCCTGCCTTCCTCTCGGAACCTGGTTACTTGTCTAACAAAATAGACTGACAGTGAGCAGACGGATACTGCAGCTGATGGTGAGACCACTGCCACCGAGGTTTGTACAGCCAATGGCCCCCAGTTACTGAAGGGGAGAGCCTTTGGTTTCATCTCTCCCTGACCCCAGGCATGAATGCTGAACTGCATGTCTCCTCCTGCAGTGTAGGGCCCCCACTCTGTGCATGTGCGAGAGCTTCCCTTGGCCAGCGGAGTTCTTGGGGCACCCTTCATATTCGTTCTTACTACTGTATTTTATCTGGAGGCTGCCGAGACGACGCTGCCTTGTGCAGATAGAGGGATGATAGCAGCATCACCCATGCAAACACTGGCTACCTGGTTGGTCGTGTCATGGTGTTTGGTGCTTGTTTCTTTGCTCTTAAAATCTGCTGCCTGTTGGAGAGAGGGAGCAGGGGGAAGGAGCTACAGCACAGTTTTCAAGTTTTCTGAGAAAAGGTGTCATGGTTCTATGTTTTTGTTTTTGTACATAGAACCATGACAAAAGGTATTTCCAGGTTATAAATACTTTCAGTGCAATTAATTTCAAGTCATCTTCAACAATGCATAGATTGCAATCCACGTATTGTCTTCAGATGTGGAACATTAAAAAGTGGGTTTTTCTTGATGCTGATAAGCTTCTTATCCACAGCGTAGTATGTAGGGTATGCAGGCAAATTCAGCCCTATGCGACTTTAGTGAAGTGGATATAATGCTTTCATAATTAATATGGTTGCAGCTGCAAACGTGAGCTGAATTTGGTCTGGCATCTGGTAGAAGACAGAGCCTTGCTGCAAACACTACTGTAGCTTTTCAGTAAGATCTCATTAATATTTCAGACCATTAAAATTATCGTCAAGGAAGAGTTCTGTGTATGACGCGTCAGGACAATTTGGCTTTGGCTGTAAATAGAATAGATTTGAACTGAATTATAAACTAGTCAACAGATAAAGATTTTCCAGTGGGTTATTTCTCTAATTAGAACTGTATGAAAAATTAAGCCAAAATAGAGGCGCAAGCATTAACAATCCAAATGGAGCAACAACACAGCGTCTGTTGAGTACAGTCAGGAGCACAAAATGCTTTAAAGAATCACTTGCACTCCATAGCTTCAGGCTTTGAGTCATACAGAAAGCATAACATAATCCCAAAGCCATTATGTTTAAAATGTTCAGTTTATTTAGCAAAAATTCACAATAATCTTCCCATGTGCCATTTTTATTTTAGAGGTGAGGATTTTATGAACCTCTGTTTTTCTTATAGATGCCCAATTTTCAGGAAGTTTGTATACTTACCATCTGAAAATGAAATCCTTCAAAAATAGACTCTGTTTGTGATCCATTTTGCATTGCTTTTGAAAAAATTGAGATGCAGTGAACATTGTGTATTTGCAATCTAAAATCTCCACTGCAGATAGGTGCTGAAAGAATATATGCAGACTAAAATGAAGTAAATTTATATTAATGCGGCATGGGACTGAGGTTCAGGAAACAGCACTTTTTGCAAATAAGATGTGTTTCATTCCTTAGAAGTTGTTGCACATGTTTCCCTTGGTCTTATTTATACAGAACAACTTCTGTGACCCAGGAGATGTCATCATATGTTTAAGCTTTGGGATTACAGATTTCTGAAGAATTTGTTATTGCCATTTGGTCTTAAACCAGCAATGATCTCATTGATAAAGTCCATCTTTTGCTCCATACGTAGCTAGAGGACCTATAAAAGTAGAGTGCACCAATGATAATGGAGAATTGAATGATGGAAGTTAGACAATGGTCATGGAAATTTTAAAGGGAAATATTAAATACTCATTTGTACAAAATTAACAACTTCGGAAAGAGGAGGCCTGCTCTGAATTAGAAAAACTGCAGTCAGCTACTGTGTCTGTGCATTCTCCTTAAGTCCTTAACAAAGAGAAAATGTGCTCTGAACCTAGTTCACTGACCAACATCTGTAAAGCTTTCTGTAATTGGATGGGTAAGGTGTTTTTTCAAATCTTTCTCATGCTGGCAGTCGGATCAAGAGGAGGACGGAGATCTAAAGGCACAGGTACAGAAGCGGAAGGTCCAGATGTTACTAAAGTACTGTTGTTGGAGGTGTTCATATCTCCCAGCATGTTACTGTTGGTTCTCTGTGAAGAAATGTGTAGAAACAGCATTTTGTATCCTTTCAATACTGTGTCCCTTACCTTTCCCTTTCTTTTTCACTTCTTTCAGAATAGTCTGATTAAGCGAATACAGGGTGAAAATGTGTATGTCAAACATAGTAATCTTATGTTAGAGGTTGGTATTGGTATATACCAGTGCATGTGCGTACATGTGTGTTAGTTTTAGTGGTAAACTGTGGATCTGCACTATGATGCATGAGCTGTGTATTCCCACCTGCTAGTAAATTAAGTAGATATTTTTTCTCAGATTACGACGACTCCTCTAACTTGTACTATAAATATGTAAATGCGTGCGCGTATGTGTGTGTGCCTCCACGCGCATATGTATGTTTGTTTGAAGCCTCCTTATCAGGTGTAAATTGTAGTGATACGGATAAACTCCTTAAGAGTATATTTATACTCACTTGTATGAGATATGCTATGCTGTTACCTCTCAAAATGCCACATTTTCACAGAGTGTTGTGTTAGTGATGTGCTCCCCGGCTCCCCAAGATTTTACTTTCCTCTTTACTAACCGAGTTATGTGTTTTGGCTCTGAAATTTCATCGGCTTAGGATTTATTACAAACTGCTCTATTCTTTTAAAACTATCTAGGACCTAGACAAAACCCAGGAAGATCTGATGAAACATCAGACCAATATAAGCGAGCTGAAACGAACCTTCTTGGAAACCTCCACAGAAACGGCTGTGTCTAATGAGTGGGAGAAGAGGCTTTCCACATCTCCCGTTCGGCTTGCAGCAAGGCAGGAGGAGGCTCCTATGATTGAACCACTAGTGCCTGAAGAGGTCAGCAAGATCTGAAAGGCTTCATAATATATTTATGTATTCATTTTTACTTAGAGCAGCTCTCAGAAGATATTTGAGGCCCCTCCATACTTGCAGGTGCTCTATTTTCTCAGGAGTCTACCAGCAAAGGTACAAGGAAAAGCGGATAGCTGATGTTTATATGTATAATGATAGTCTGCAGAATTCACTGCTAGCCACCTTGCAGAACTGGGTCTCTGTAAGGGTGCAAAATGCAGGCTTCCTTACAGGTTCGGTAAGCTTGAGGAAGTTTGCCCATGCATGAAACAAAACATGACAGTGATTGAGGGAAAATTTAAATAACGGTGACTGCTTGGGAGCAGTGGCATTGCAACATGGGCGGAGGTACAGTACCAGGCCTGACAAGAAAATACAGACCAAAGGGCAGAACTCTTGTCAGTCTCTAAGGATGAAGAAGAAATAAAGGTAATTGGACCTGCTTGCCCACTTCCGTAAGGATTTTGATAGTTGCTGCCGTCTGCTGGTTACCCATTGAAGAGTCAGTGTCAATTGCTAAGCATGCACATTTTCATGCAGGAACAAAATCTTGCTCGCTGTGCAGTCTAAAATGATTGTGAGGATTTAACACCATCTAAAAAGTAGTCTTCTATTTAGGTTATGGGTAGATATTGAGATGTAGAGGCAACGATATAGTATTAGTGTTGCCTTAAAATACAGAAGTGTTTATAACAAGCAGAGAACATCTTGATTAAATCCAATAGTGCAAACAGAAACTTGCTTGAGTAGTTTGCATGAAGGTAATTTTTTTATTACGTTGTGCTAATCTGGCTTCTGTCTGACAGGAATCGTCTTTATGTTTACTGCTTACTTTTTAGGACCAATAGATCATAGAATCACAGAATGCTTTGAGTTGGAAGGGACCTCAAAGCCCTCCCAGTCTCACCCCGTGCAGTGGGCAGGGCTGCCACCCAGCAGCTCAGCTGCCCAGGGCCCCATCTAACCTGGCCTTGAGCGCCTCCAGGGATGGGGCACCACAGCTTACATGGGCAGCTGTGCCAGCACCTCACTGTCCTCTCAGTAAATATTTCCTTCCTTATATTTAAACTATGTCTGTCCTCTTTTAGTTTAAAGCCATTATAACTTGGCCCGTCACTACATGATCTTGTAAAAAGTCTCTCTCCAGTTTTCCTGTAGGCCCCTTTCAAGTAGTGGAAGGCCAAGGTGAAGTTTCCCTGGAGCCTTCTCTTCTCAAGGCTGAATGACTCCACTTCTCTCAGCCTTTCATCACAGGGGAGGTGCTCCATCCTGCTGATCAACCTCATAGCCTTCCTGTGAATTCTCTCTGATAGTTTCATGTTGTTCTTGTGCTGTGGGCCTGTAAGATATTATTCTGTTAACATCAGTGTCTCAAAGCTTGCCTATAAATTGGAGTGAGACAGGGTCCCGGAGCTGAAGGCAGTGGTCCAGGTGTAGTACTGCTGCTCATGAGTGCCCTCATGAGGGCAGAGGGGAGCAGTCACCTCCTCCTACTGTCTTGTTCAGGAATCATAATAGATCTTACAAACATGTTTGTAGATGAAAATGCAGGTTTTCTGTCTTAAAAGTAAAATTGTAAGTCTAATAAACAGAATGCATCTAACATATTAAAGAGGTAAAGACCTGGTGAAAAGTGAGTGGCTGGAAAGCTGAATCCAAATCAGAGGAGTGTGAGTGAAGCAAATAAACCCCTGAGTTTGTTTGTTGTCTTAATTACTTTTCAAATTTAGTAACAAAATGTTGATTAAACCACACAAGCAGTAGCAAAGCATTACAGTTTTGTAGGTTTTACCCTGAGGAAAGACATCCTAACTTAAGCATTCATTTGGAAATAAAAAGGGCGAGAAATATCCTGATCTGGTAGCATTCTTACAGGAGGAAAGTAACTTGCTCAAAAGCAATGTCCAGTTACTATATCTTACATGCATCTAAATGAATTGCTGTGAAAAATATGAGTGGATTTGAGTTCTCAGAGCCTAACTTTGAGGTGACTTCTAGTAACATATGACATCCTTTTTGTCTGTGCTAGGCAGGATTGTTTCAGATTGCACATCTTGCTGATAGAATAATTTGTCAGGAAAATCTTCAGCCATGCATAGTCAAAATCAGCAGAGGCAGTCAGGATCCAAAGCACTTACACCTTCCTTGTGTGGTAGCTCAACATCCGCAAAGATGCTACACACTTCACTCACTCAAAATAGCCACTTTAAAGGTGTATTTAGTTCTGTTACAACTAGCTCTTCAAGATTACTACAATAAAAGAAGAACAGAGAGGAAAGTAAAACACACACTTGGAGTGTTTGGTATGTTTGTGTTTGGTCGGATTGAGCCTGTCAGGTCACCAGTTGGTTCTCACAATAACGGGAAGAAATTATTTCATTTTATTTAGTTACGAGAAATAATTTTAAATGGCTACTATAATGTTGGCCAGATAGCTGCAGAACATGAAAGCTGTCGTATTAACAAAATAAAAACCAAGGGTAAAGTCAAAGAGGATGTTGATGTCATTCTGTAAGAGGAAGCTGGAAATTTAAGGAAGAAATAAAGCCAGAGTGAGGCGCAGGTCCCTGTTCTTAGCCTGTAGATGGAAGCCACATCAGATGGCACCAGACAAACTTAAGTGAATGACATAGGACAAAATAAATGCCACACATCCACAACCAAGTATTGCTCAATTTGTTATTTTTTTCAGTTATGCAGGCTTTATACTTATGTCTACTTTGCATCCATATTCAGTTCTGTTGTCTAACTTATCATGCAGTAAATACTTTATAAAGAAATATGATAAGCTATTGTATAGTATAGTGGACTGTATGCCCTCCATTTACTGAAACCATTTGTTCCCCTGACATTAGACCAAAGAAGAAAGAGAAAAATCAGAAAAACTCATAGTATTGCAGAAAGGAGGTACTACATTCCTTGAAATGCAGGTAAAAACTAATCATACTTTCTTGAAATGCAATCAGATAGGCTGACAGTTGTTTATTATCTTTTTTTCCTTTCCAGACCACTTTTTTTTAATTATTATTTTCATACTTATTTCCTAATTTTAGAGACAGACGTTTTGTGGGCCAGGTTCAGAGGAATGTGGTCTCTCCAGTGCTTCTGGCTATCTAATACAGATTGATTTCTCTGCTAGTTACAGCTCTACTTGCATAGTGCTATTTGTGGATGTTGTTTGCAGTTGTGCATGCATTTCCAGCATAAGTTACACTGAGAACTTTGTGATGAATGGGGCACTTGTGTCATTAGAATGAATTTCCTATATACTGTCAAGTGAATTCAGATTACTGAGTGATGGTGAACTCTGTGTTCTTATTGGTTTTTCTATTAGCCGAGTGTGATAGAGAAGAAGCTACAGGAAGGAGAATCTGCTGACACTTTGGTTACTTCTCATCAAATCATTATCCAGAAAAGTATCCCATCATCCCTAGAGGTTATTTTTAATTCATTCGATTTTAAATAACCACATTTGCTTAGTTAAATGCAGAAGTTACAGTCTTATGGTCAAATAAGTGGATGCTGATTGTGTAGACAGAGAAAATCATGTAGTATACTTGCATAAGGAGAAAAAAAGACGTTGTCTTCAATTCAATATCCTTAGTAGTATGGCATTTCCTGTGTTGTACTATTATATTTAAATAATGCTGAAGGGGGTTGATGTTTTCTAACAAAAGCAGACTGCAGTGTAGACTGCAGCTACGTACGAATGCATACTGTTTTAAAACCTCATCAAAAGTGTGGTTGTTGCAAATGGGATCCAGTTGAATGGGCTTATTTGCCCTATTTTTGTAACTTGTTTTCAAGTAGCATAACGAACCATGGCGATGTATGATTTTTAACCTCAGGATGATCCTGATGATCATTTTATTCTGCTTCAAATTACTGCAGAAAAGTGTGGCAAATGTAATTTTTTGTGTCCACATTAAGCGGGCCTCTAACAGGAAGAAACCTACAAGAAATCTAACTTTGCCTAAGGTGATGCTGTTTATTTGTTTAATAACTGCTCTAAGAAGTTCAGTGGTAAAATTATTTTATGCTTTCCGAAGAGGCAGCATTGATTTCTTAAAAGACTTCATACTTTAGTGCTCCTGAAACACAGATAAACCTTCAGATATTCTAATATAGCTTTTATATCTCAAATATAGGGCACTGAGGATTGGGTTATTATAGACAAAGTACCTTCTGAGGTAGCTGATGGTGAATCGAAAAAAAGTGTGACGTACAAAGTGGTGACTGTGAGCAGTAAAGCTGGCATTCCGCCTGAGGTACTAAAATCCAGTACTGTTCTGGGCTTTGAGGACTTGGAAAGTGAAATACAATCCAAAGATGAGAATAAGCAGAAAATGTTCACCTTAGGAAAATCCTATGATGCTGTGTCTGGGAAAATTGTTACCATGACAAGTAAAACTAAAGAGGGAGAGAAAACAATACAGCCTTCTGTAGAAGTTTTGCAAAAAAAGGAGAAGGAAGGACAAGAATCTGTGAAAATCATTCCAGTAGTGGCCAAGTATGGGATTGTAGAGCCTGTCGCTGAGGAAAAGGCCGATGTGCAGAGCACAAAAAGAAAGCTGTCTGACTCACTGACACCTATAAAGGAAGCCGAATCTCAGTTGCAAAGTCCTGAAGAGGAGAGCTTGAAAAAGACGCTAAGGATGGACCAAGATGTGCAGTTACTGAGAAGCCTGCAGCTTGGCAAAGCAGAAAAGCACCTTGATGGTGAAGCTGCAAAAGCAGGGGCATTTGCCTGGAAAGATAAAAGCGTGTCTGAGTGGAGATACTCCAGAGAACAACCATTTACCATTGCTACTGCTCACTATGTTACTGAGTCGTCTGCGTCAAAAGTAGTGGTAACAAGGGGCTTTGACTTCATGCCACAGTTTAAAGATTAAAGCATGACTTCTTTTAGGCAATGCCCTCACACTACCCTGCCTTTCAGTTCTCCTGCTGCCTGGCTTTATGTTGACAGCAGCCAACCCAGCTTATTTTTTTTCTCATGATTTGAAGCCGTACCACAGTGTAAAGCAGGCATTATATAAGGCTTCCAACGTTTCCGGTTTATTTAAAGATCCACGTTACTGACATGTGGTGTTGCCGCTGTTGCTTGTTAACCAAAGGGTAAAAAGGTTTGCTTGAACGAGCAAAACGCCAGTGCTAACAACTATGCTTTGTAATTATTGCTTACTACAGCCAGTATGAATTTGCTCTAATTTATTTTCCCATTCTTATCTGTTCCCAACCTCTCTGTGCCCCGCAACCTTCTCTTCCTTTCCTTCGTCTCTGCCTCCAGTCAATTAGTATTTCTGTGCATGTGGGTCGACCTTTCATCTGTGTATGACTCTCCATTTCTTTGTCTATTTAGACTAAACAGTCCACTGGTGAAAAAACCCTGGATGGCTCAGATATCTTCAGTTTAATAGAGTCCGCCAGAAAGCCAACTGAGTTCATAGGAGGGGTTACTACTACTTCCCATAGCTGGGCACAGGTGGCTGTTTGATTCCATCCCTTGGTGTTATAACTGCACAATGATTACTTTTGATTTGCTTCTGTATCCTGTTTCTATGCATAACTCAGAGCCTGTATGACTAACGCATGGCATTGCTGTGCCTTGTCCTTTGTTACAACAGACCACAACAGAAACATCACCAAAAGGGAAAAAACAACAACAAAAAAAAGTGTTGTGTTTTTTTTTTAATCTCATTTCACTTTCTTTTGGTCATTTTACAGGGTGCTGTATTTTGCCTTTATAAAACTCGCACAAAACTACCAAGGATAAAAACACTGACATTTCTCTTCACTTCTAAAATCATAATTCTTGTTTTATTTTTCATTTCTACTTTTCTGATTATGTCCTTAGAGTGAAAATCCATCAACGCGAGAGAAATAAATTGGCAAAATGTAATACCCCACTTTTATTTATGTTCACAGTACATTGAGCTGAGGAGCTGCTCTGTGTAGTGTTTTCTGCTTTCAACATGAGAATATTTTTTTTTCCCTCTTTCCCTACAGAGAATAGACACGTCGACATCTCAGGAGATAACTTCCAGTGAATTGAAGCAAGAGGCTCAGCCACACCAGGACGCAGTGACGAAGGTTGTAGAGGAGACTGTGGTTATCGAGGAGAGACGTGGGATGAATGTGCATGCGAGTGGGGATCCCGCTACAGTGGCTGGACTTGCAGATGCCCAGGCTCAGGCAGCATCTGCTAGTGCAAAGGGGAAGGAGGGCTCTGCTGTGACTAAGGGGGCTAAAGAGGAAAAAAAAGAGGCTCACAAAGCTGTAACGAAACAGGAAGGCATTGCTGCTTCTACTTCTCATGAGCAAGAGGAGGAGCACAGTACAACAGTCCACGTTTCAGACTCTTTGGAAAGAAAACCTCATTTTGAGGTAACTCGTTATTAAATCAGTTCTTGTGCTGAGTTGTAAATGTACACGGTAGTGGATTAAGTCAATTCCTCTCATGGAAAGTAAAGAGTACAAGACTTGTATGATTGCGTCTTTACAGCAGGCAGTTTGTTTCTCCTCTTATTTCCTCCTTGCATGGCACCTGCAAGGCTTGTTGCTGGTTTCCATCCTTGGCTAAATGCCACGCATATTTTACTTAAAAGCGCTTTTCATGCTGTGGAGAAATGCCTCATTTGCTGGCTTTTTATGCAGTGGGCAACAAGGATTCAGCTGGCATTCTCTTTGGGAAAATCCATCAGGATTGGCAAAGTTTGCATGTCCTCAAAGACAGAAAATAATTTTTTTTCCATGCTTGATACAATTGTAGATTATTGTACTATGTCTTAAGCAATCTGTGCTTATTATGTTAGCTCCATTAGCAGAATTTCAAGAAGCATTTTGTAGAAGGGTAGGGAGACCTTGTTTTGCTCCTTTTTTTCTGAAAGCTGAATGGAAAAGTAAGCCTGAATAGGATTTTTTTTCTTGTCATTCTCAGAACATGTGTAATATTTACATCTTTCCTGAAGCTCATTCTCTTCTAATCCAGAATAGTGTCAAACTGCCAGCACTACATAACTATATACATGTGTGTACCATTACAACAAAGGGATTTTTTTCTCTTTTTTTTTTTTTCTTAAAACGTACACCACTTTCTATTGCTACCTCTTCTTTTCCTATGCAAAAAGAAGCAACACCCTCCCCCTACACCCCCCCCCCCAAAAAAAAAAAAAAAAACACCCTTTCTGAGAAATCCAGAATCTTTACTAAATTTTCCAATCTCTTTTTTTGTTGTTGTTCACACAGTCACCAGTTGTGAAGACTGAAACAATCAGTTTCAGTAGTGTTTCTACTGGGGGGGAAAACCTTGAAATTTCAACAAAGGAAGTGCCAGTAGTCCATACAGAAACAAAAACCATTACATATGAGTCTTCACAGGTAAGAAATCCTACAGAAGCCAACATCTAATTAATGTGGCCTTGAGGAGCCATCTTTCTTCATCCATATCTTAGTGTGTTCCTTAGTGTGAACTGTTATTCAAGAATTCAATACTAGTATGGGGAGTAAGTGCATAAGTACAGTGTACCTGTAGGTGGCTGGTGTGTCTTGATGTAGGGCCTTTTAAGAACACTGATAAAACTACATTTCAAAGCCCCAGTTTCTCATCTGTCCTTCCAGAAGTAGAGTCTTAATGCAGAGAGAATTACCGACACATAATCACCTTAACAGCAGTTGTTACCCTGATGTTAAATAAATTTCTATGAAGAAAAATAAAAATAGGGAATTTAGTTCTTGTCTTCCTGTGCCTAAGAGTATGCTTTTGATGATTGTTTTTTGGTTCTCTAGGTGGATAGTGGTGCTGACTCAGAGCCTGGTGTGCTGATGAGTGCACAAACTATCACATCTGAAACCACCAGCACTACAACCACTACACACATCACCAAAGTGAGTCCTCTGGAAATGGGAAGCTTTTTTTTTTCTGAAGGATCTGTGTTTTCTTAGCTTCTGTTATTTTAAAACATAGACACATGCTTATAATCTCCGGACAAAATCCTATCTATTTTGGGTTTCTGTCTTCGTTCACCTGTCTTTGGGTATACTACCTTAATTAATCGATCATTCAAGGACTTAATAGTAGTGATCTGAAAAGTATAAACCCTTCAGGTATGTCTCCACTGCTGTGCAGAGCTATTTGAATTAGAAACAAATACTCTCTGAAACAGGGAGCAATGTAGCCAAGTTGACATCAAATGGTTCAAAAGGAAGGAATAATTTTCCTCAGCATGAGTGTGTATTGACAGGACTATACTGCTTTTGAGTCCTGCGCTATTTGGTCTGCACAGTGTTGAAATGGTGTTATAAATCTGCATCATATAGTCATAATGGGACATTCAGTCAGCTCAGATACTGTGGTTGCTGTTTTGTTGTGTTGTACTGTAAGGAGCTTGCCTGCAGTCAGACAGAAAGCTTATGGCTGAACAGACAAATTATGCTGGGTCTTCCACTTTCAAGGCAGCAACTCAGTAACAGGACCTCCCTCAGCAGAAACACTGTATAATGACAACTCTCTTACTAGTATTTGATGAAGGTAGCGTTTTATCTTTCTGCATTGCAATTCACCCTTCAGTAGACGAGCTGTGCAAGGGCTGTACAGCCTCTCTGTTCTTCTGAAGCCTGCAGTAAGACTTATGTAGGTTTTAATATGAGCTGTTTGTATGTCCATTCTTCTTTTCATGGGATGAGTTTACCACTAATAGCATTTTTGATCCACCACTTGCAAATATCTTTCTTGATGTGTACATGTTGGTTAAAATCACAATGTCGTCTTTGTTGGAAGGAACTCTGGAGAGGTCCAACCCCCCATTCAGAGCAAGCTCCAATTGCAGTACAGGGTTATCCCCTCTGTGTGTCTAGAGTTTGTTCAATTCAGCCACATCTGGATTTGTGATCATCCTCCAAATGGGTTGCATCACTCTTTAAAGCCAGTTACTGATATATATTTATCAATCTCATTTAGACTGTGAAAGGAGGCATCTCAGAGACAAGAATCGAAAAACGAATAGTCATCACAGGAGATGCAGATATTGATCATGATCAGGTAAAATCTCTAAGCTGTTCAAGGCTACCTTGAAGACTGCCAAACAGAACATTATTAAACATTGGTTTAAAAGACACTGTTCAAACTCACATGCCTTAAATTAAACTGAACTAGTAGTTAAATCAGTGATGGTATATTTCATATTTTAATCATTTTCCTCATTTGTAAATTGTGTAATATCTCATGAATCTCTCCACCTTGCTACTGATCATGCATGTTCCACCTCCTTTTTGTTTTTGCCCTTCTGTGGTTTCCTTGGGATAGGCGCTGGCTCAGGCAATTAAAGAAGCCAAAGAGCAGCACCCTGACATGTCAGTGACCAAAGTAGTGGTACATAAAGAGACAGAAATCACACCAGAAGATGGGGAGGATTGACCACAGGTAAGAAGACTAGATGATTTTCATAGGCATTTACTGGGCTGGCATGTTGCAAAGGTTGTTTTCCTACCATAATTCACCTCTAACTTCACTTTCTCTCTCTGGCATTTGCAATTTGCATTTGCGCTGTTTATCAGTTTTGATATTTGAATGCAAAGCCCATTCAGCTCTGACTGTCTTCATTTAAATAGTGCCAGCTGGAGAAACAGAAACTACTCATTTGCTTTTGTTGGCTCTCTGCAAATTTCTCACTGTCCATGCTAATCCTAAAGTCAAAAAAACCTGTTGTCTGCTTCTGTGTCATTTAAGAACAAACTGTTGTTCTTAAAGGTATGCATTTTGTTTAAAAAATGCCAAGGTTAAAACCTATAGCTGCTTTTTCAATGTTCTGTGCAGATATGTTACAAGTTAAGCTTTATTCCAAACTTGCAAAGATATGGCCTAACCTGCTTTCGATTTTTGTTTCAAACCCAGTGAGCTCAGTGTGTCAGTATTTGGATGTCTTGGCTTTCTTGTATTTCAGAGGACACATTATGTTTTAAAGCAGCATTGTTTATCAGGATGAGAAGATGATGCAGCTTTCTTGTGTCAAGCTCTTTTTTCTTTTTTTTTTTTTTCTTTTTTTTTTTCCCGTAAAGGCATGCTATCCAGTTGTGGTTGGCTAAACAGACATCTTAATATTCCTGTATTTACTCTATGTGCAGAAATATGTCATGCATACTAACCTGCTATGTAAAAGCTGCTAATGCTGGCACCATTGCGCAAATTGCTTTGAATGCTGTATGCAGAAGAAAGAAAAAAAAGCTGCTTGTCTACTTTATTTAAATCTGTAGCAGCATTTTATTCTTAAAACCGTATATGTTCCCTAGCATTTGGTGGAATTAACAGAGTATGATGCACAGCACCTTTTGTTATTTATTTTGGAAAATGGAACCAATCACTGAGGAGTGAGTAGCTGTAATTCTTGCTAATTGATGAAGAGAAAACATAAAGTGGCTCAGTTAAAGTCTATTGATGTCACTAATTCTTTCCACTGGCATCACTGGACTTTGGATTTGGGCCAAGTTGCTTATACTGAGATGATACTGTTTTTGTGCAAACAGTTGGACTAAATCTCTTTTGTAAGATAGCAGTTGTTACAAATAATTAACGCAATTCTCTCTCCTGCAGGAATAATCTAGATTGCATATGAATCCAGACATGCTCACCCATAGGAATACAAGAGCCTCTATGGAGTCTCAGTTCCAACCTGACTGACTTGTATCTGTGTATGGAAAATTTCAGTACAGAAGAATTGATCTTGACCGTTAATAAAGAAACTGGCAGAAATCTCTTCCCCTAGAAAGCAATCTGAATCAGCAGCAGTTATATTGCATGAAGCAACGATAAAATTACAGAAAAGCAGCATTTTTAATTTTCTTAAAATATCTAAGTTTTCAGCTATACCTGCACGTTCATAAACAATATAAACAGTGATCTCATGTAACACATAAACAGTTCATGCCTTTCACAGTTTATGAAAGTCTAAACAGATTAAAATTTGTTAGGTGGCAAGCCTTTTGTTTACGGATATTGTAAATGAAGATTACCCCCAAAATGCTAGAAGCTCTAGAGGTACTGTGTATAATGTTTTACCACACATTAGATGTGCCAATAACACAGTTTATTCAGTAAACACCTTGAATCTTACATTTGTTTCATCTTGTTTTATTACTGCCCGATAAACAATGACAAATCTTTACTCTTATCAAAATATTTAAATGCTTACAAAGTGTGCTTTGTATACCTGACTGAATACCTTATGAGGTAGTAATTATTTTAGCTTATTAACTTTAACGATTTTTGTCAGCGTTGTTCAGAGTCAGCTTCTGGTCACCCTTCACAGATCCTAACCTTGTAAATTATATGTAGTTATTTTGGGAAAAAAAATCTGTATTTTACTTAGTTTGCAGCATTAGAAAGTTATTAATCTAAAGTAACCACGATGGTTTTCTATTGATTTCCCTTTTTGTTCTCAGAGGAAAAGAAAAAATCTGTTTGAGAATCTGGTCAGCATTTACTATCTAGTTCAGAGTCAAGCCTTAACCTGTACAGAACGTCCACTGAAAACTCGTTAGTGTTCAGCTACAATACCCACTGAAGGGATAGAGTCCATTACACTGTCAGCTGCATCACAACACATGGTGAATGTATGTTTCTGCATAGTGAAATAAAAGTGGTAAATGCATCCAAAATTGTATTGTTCTGTGTCTAAAAGAACCTAGTGTTTCTTATATTCAAAATTTGAGTTGCATTTGTAAGGCACCACAGGTTTTACGCATCTGCACAGTAGACACATTTTGTCTTCAGAGGCTGAGACTGCACTGTGCCGACAGTTGGAGTTGCAGGGGACCCAAAGGGATGACCTAGTTTACCTTTGGGTAAATGATGTTTCAAAGGAAAAGAAGCATTTGGTTTCTCCTGTTTTCTGTAGTTGTGTACTGTTCCACTGACGCTTAATGAAGGATTTTTTTGGTTGCTTAGAAAGTAAAGGCCTGTAGCCCTTCTCTTCTGGCATTTTTACTCTGAAACATGGATTAAATTCTCTCTTCAAAGCATTATTAATTTTCTATTCCTTTTCCTTGCTCTTTTGCCACATCTCATTGACACTCCCCTCATAATTCAAGAGAAGTTCTTGACGAATAATTCACCCTTCAATCTGTATCTCCTTGCAGGATTGAAAGAAATAGATACAAGCAGACTTTTCAGGACATAAAGGGCCACATTTGCCCTTCATTGTTTACATGGGGCTCCCTCTCACTGAAGTCAATGGATTTGGCTTCAGTCAAGGGCAAGGCTTGACCCAGTGACTTGTTAATAAATGTTTATTTTCTTAATTTAAAAAGAAAAAATAGTATATATAGAGAGAATAATCTGTAGATAATAATTAAAAATTATATTCCAAGGCTTCAGAAGCTTTGCCCTCAGTCTCTAAAACGTCTTCCTTCCACCAGCCATTCTTCATGCCTTTAATCCGGAGTGCGAACTGTGTAACTTCCCATACTGCATTTTTTACCTCTTGCCTGATGAGTAACGCAAAGGTTACGGTATGTTATGATCTTCGGCTGACCTCTCTCCCCACTTGTCTTTTATATTTAGAGATGAGTATGTCCTTGCCCTCTTTGGTGAAGGTAGGCTCAGCTTTCTGGTGCTGCTAGCGTCCTGCGGCAGCCATAGGTGGAAGAGGTGCTCACGCAGCTTCCCAGCAGACTTCCTTCCAGGTTCTCACTACTGTATCAGGAGTTTAAAAGTAGACTCTGAAGCCATATTGATCTTCCCTCAGGTGTCCCTTATGTTGTCAGCTGAGAAACAGCATTGTATTACCTCAGAGAGGTGAGGTGGTTGCAAAGCCTTCTCTCCAGAGATAGCATTATATTTTAGCATGGCTTGAGGAGATTGTACTTTGGTGATACTGCACAGTATGTATGCTGTCTAAAGATATTGTATCTTTAAAAGGTAGTGTCCTTAGAAAGGATGCTCACAGCTAAGATACGGCCTAAGCATGTGCAAAATATGAGGAGATTAGAGTGGACAGGCAAGGACATCTCAGTGCCGCTGCTGGCAGTAGACCCTTGTTTGGGGGATGGTTCCTGGGAGCAATAGTCTTGGTTTTTGTTAGAAACTGTTTCTTGGGTTGTCTGCCTAATGCTGTGCCACAAGAAATAAAAAACACTTGCCTGTTTCTACCAACCAACTTTTGTCTATGGCTCTTCTCTTTTATTGTTGGTCTTTGTCCTGTGTCTTGACGTAAAACAGCTTGTAAAACAAACCAGCAAATTATGTTACTTGAAAGCACTGTTACTAACACAGACGTCAGTACAAGACAACCTCACATTACAACTGAAGCCACAGCTCCAGCACCACGAGAAGTGACTGCTCTGCATCACTGGGGTAAAGGATCATGATGGGAGAGCTTTGCACACCAGGCAAGAATCAGCATAATGAGCTGCAGTGGAAACGCCAGGACACAGCCTGAAGCAATGGTTGAACACCAGGTGTGGCTAACACAGGGAGCTCAGGTGCAAGCAATGCACCTGAGTGACTGGAAGGGGTGGAAGCTAGAGCCATTCTTCCTCTCTCATTTATGGGTTAGAAGCCAAAGGAGTTACACCTCACTGAGGCTGTACTTGTTTTGAGTTGTTGTCAGTCATCTGAAGGGGTAAGTTAGTCTTCTTTATTTAATCATCTTGTTCTAGAGTGCATGCATCCTAGGAAAAGGCTCTGTCATTGCCTTTGCTTGTCCTACACAAGCGATCACTGCAACTGTAACCATTATAGGCACAGAAATAAACAACATATTTGGCGTTTTTAAGATCAAACAAGATAACATTATAGTTCTCTCACTGACTTTTTTTTTTTTTTTTTTTTTTTTTTTTTTTAGGCATTGTCCTCTGAAACTGCTAATAATGACATTCTGTGTACAAGCACTTCAAAAACTGTTAATGGGCCTCAAAATCCAGATACTAGATTAAAGCAAGAATTTAACAGCCTAGTCCTATTCAGCATCTTAGTCCTGAGACAGATTTAGGCAGCTGTGCCTCATTTTGATTTTAGATATCCTAAACCATTAGGAACAGTGATATTTCCCACGGTACTTAAGTCCCAATCAACAGCTCACTGCTTTGACAATATGATTTCACCTCATCTACGTACTTTAAGTAAAATCTTTAATTAGATGATATCCCATTCTCATGCCTTTTACATTAGAGAGTAAAATCTGGCAAATGACAATGTATTAAAAATAGATGTTAGTATCTCTTCTTATATCTCTTTGATAATAGAGACGAATTGAACCATTTGAAATTTTGTATAGATCCCAAACTGTAATGGTGGTTTGGGGTATCTAAAGGGGGGATTATGAGAAATGGTAACCTCACTGCATGTTTTTTTCAAAGACAGAGAAAATACTTTGCTCTCTTTAAATCTACAGATTCCAACGATGATATCAATCTTACACTGTAAATGATGTTCAGCTGTATCTTTTATCATTGTAATTATGCCGCTTCAGGAAAGAGGTTGTCAGTGTTTGGCCAGAGTCCTCTCAGGACAATACAAAATGCCAGCCTTCCTCATAAAAACCTGGTCATTCACTTGAAAGAGGCATTATTAGTTATGCATCTTTTAGTTCTGACTCATAAGGATTCAGACTGAAATGAACAGTAAGGCATGTTGCTACTAGTTGTTTTATAAAAATGTTTTCCACAGATTCCTGTATTCGTTAACTAAAATCAGATTGTTATATTATCTTGGAACTAACGTTATGTTAGCACCAGTTCACAATCTAAATCGTTCTGTATTCTGACATCTGATTCCCTTCTCCACCCTTTTTCTTATCTTCTCCTTCACCATCAGTCCTGCTTTTCAGCTGGAACTAATGGCCTCCACAAATAGTGTTAGCACCAGAATTTAAAAAATCCTGTTCTGAAGGAAGACCAGTATGTTCATGTTATGCAAAAATCTTAGCTTTCTTCCTTCAAATCCTGCTCCCAAATGCAGCTATTACCTCCATAAATCAATGACCTCACTCTTACAGCTGAAACAACCATCATTCACTGTAAGTACGATTAATGGCCTTGCCTTTAAGAGGCATTACAATGACACAGCCAAAGAATACTGACACTAGAAATTGTTTTCATTTTTTAAATGCATGTGAGTTATCTGTCCTCTCTGGTACAGAACATAAATAGAAGCTATCTATTTCTTTTTGTTCAGAGCTTACTAGGAATTTCTTTCTCATTTTCTTGACGTAACTGTGCTGTCTGCTTCTGTGGCAAAGTGTGCCATGGATGTTTACTTCTGTACACAACCAAAGCTCTTGCAGTGATATTGTCTAAACTACATTGCAAAATCCAGAGCCTGGAATGTGTGGAGCTTTGGAACTGACTGAATTAGACAGCACAGTTGTGTGTTTCTGAACAAGTCCTGCCTTATACTGGATTCTGCTGCTGCACGTGTTGCTGTCATGTTCTGGACATGCGATTTTTGGTGGATAAAACTGTATTATCTTGGAATATTTGAAGTAATTATAGAGTATAAGATAAAAGATGATTAGGAGGGAAAAAAAATCACCAAACATTGAAAATCTCAGGGAGGAACAAATAGATAATACAACAGAGCAAAAGAAAAATGAAAGCAATATATCTGAAGTTACAAAAGCAAACGATTAAGAAACTTTTAAAGCCTCTTCCAGTAGGAAGAGACCAGCTAATATGATGCTCTCACTTTCCTTACAGAGTGTTTGCACCGGCACCTTTCCTCTATGGAGTTATGAAGTTGTTTCTCAGACACAGGTTTTCTGACCAAACTCAGTTGATAGATTTGTTATACGAAGGTTTCTAAAAGAATTTATGTTCCTTTGATCTAATTTCAAATACACATACAACTCCGAGAAATAAGAATCTTGTTATATAGCCACAGAAGTGTTGACATTTTCTCCACTCAGCATCAGAGCTGCTAAATCCCATGCTACTAAACAAATACGCGCACATGCATATATGTAACATGTTCCCACAAAACATTATTTCTTACATTATTTCTATGACATCATCCTTGAATAACAATGTGTTTTTGTCTTCTTCCATACAAAGTACCACCTAGTGAATGACGTGTCACATGATTTTTCTTCTCCTGCAATCAGATGCAGTATGTCAGTACAACTACTTTCTTTCATGTCAGCTTATGAAACTGAATATCTAACATGAAACCATTCCAACATGTGGCCTGCTTTCATAGAAATAAGGGGCTTTGGTGTCCTCATGACCTGACAAGGAACCTTATGCACACCTTAGGAAGACCATCTGTAACAGCAGCTTATCCCATCACTTCATGTTTATTTAAAGCTGTTTGTCCATTTTTCCTTTGCTTCTTGTTCTTAGCCCTAACCCAATTGTTTGATCTATCAAGCTCCTCTCTTCTACATCTTCTCTCTGAGTTTCTGAGCAAACTGCATCTGCTTCTTCTCTTTCCATTCTTTCTATTACCACATCCTCTCCTTCAAAGTCTCAATATTCTCCATCCTACCATCTTTGCCACTCATCCTTCACAAAATCAACTCCTACAGTCACGATACATCCAATCCCTTAAGAGCATATTTCTTTGCTTTCATATCCGTGTTCAAATTTCAGGCTTATAACTGGTGTGTTCCCTAAGTCTGTTTTTATCAAACAGTAATTTCTTTGATTTTGATGTTTGGTTTTTTTCATAGCTACTCTCCTCTCTCTTTAGCCATCATCTGATCCCTTTCAGAATGAGTCTATTCTCTCACACTGACACCTGGTCCTTTTATATTTTCCAGTCCATTAGGTTTGATGGCTTGTCATCTGCTTTCAGACCTTTCAAACCACATCTCTAGTTTTTCTTTCTAACCTGTCACTGAAAAGCAAGCAGTGGAAATCATGTAGATTATTTTCTTTCATTGCAATAGGTATTCTATGGAATAGAATAGAACAGAATGAAAGAAAATGCCCATCCTGACTGTCATCTTACCCCCAAATGTGGATTTAACTATTCCATTTTTGTAATCTCACTTACTGAAGTTAAGGTTAGTATTGCTTTTCCTTAACCAAACTGTGAGCATTTATGTAAAGCCAAAGCACTGTTCAGTATAGACAGTTCTGTCACTCATATTACCACTCCTGTGTGGAAAGTAAAATGGAAATGCCCACAGGAAATGCGTTATTAGTTTATTCAGATAAAGAAGTTACATTGTCACTATGCTGACACCTACACAGGTCAAGCTGGACAAGGCTCTGAGCAACTGGATCTATCTGTAGATGTTCCTATTCATTGCAAGGGGGTTAGACTTTAAAGGATCTTTAAAGGTCCCTTCCAACTCAAATCATTTTATGACTCTATTCTATGATTCTGTGATTCTGAACAATCTAAAGATAAATGATTGTGATTTAGTGATAGAGAATTTACATAAACAAAAATTTATCTCCAGTAAGGCCCAGTGCTACGGAGCGCCCAAACTGGAGCTGGCTTCCACTCAATCTGCTCAGAGTGAGGGCTGAAACAGTTGAGTATCAACTCGTTGATTACATGCATCGATGCATTTGTACTGAAATGGTGCAGCAGCATTATTTATCCCATCACGCCACTGAGCTCTTCTTCCATGTATTTAACGCTGAACTTATGTATAAGTCTGAGTGTTTTTAGGGCAAAGAAAAGTCAGGAAGAGATAGATAAGCAGAGTGAAAGTTCTGCTATAACCTTGTGGGTTACAAAAATTTTGGCTGATACTCTACGTAATCCATTTGTTTTGTCAAGTGCATCAATCAGTTTGGCAATTACAGCTAATGGATATTGGGACAACAGTAGCAAAAGTTGGCTCTCTACACAAATCGCTATAATCCTATATCCTTGTCTGGCCAGGAATAAAGTTATAGAGATCTGATTCCAATTTCTACAACAAAGTACACAGGTTGCTCCAAAAGTAATGCCCCCTATTTATTACCATGGAAATTACAACAAATACAATGAGCATGATAATACTATTCGATAAATTCTCCGCTACAAAGCACTATTTGTCAACACAGTCACCACTTTTAGCTATGTGTTTTCACCAGTGAAAAATATAAGATGAAAAGAAAAAAAATAACAGCAGCCTTCATGCCACGGTTGTCGAAATCTGCACCAGTGAAGGTGACACATTGCCACTGTTGCCATTGCTGAAACACATTACTTGCTGCCTCACTGTGCTCACATCACTGTTTGGTTTCCATAACATTCAGCAACATCAATGAACTCCTCATGGAGGAATTCAGCGATACGCCTTTGCTTCACGCACACTTCCGTGACAAAGCGTGTTGTTTTGTCAGACTGCCCCTCTGCTGGTGTCTGTCTCACAGCAACAAATAAAATGAAATATTGGTGGGAAGGTACAGTCTATACTGTCATACCACCAGCATCCACATCTGCTGCTGTGGGCCAGCAGAATAAAATAGGAAGCATTACTTTCAGAGCACCCATTGTAGATTCAGAACCAGTTATTTTATTACAGGAAATACAGCATGCTAAAAAAAAATCCCAGTGATGAGAGAAAAAAGAATGCTACCAGCTGCATTAAGAAAAACTTGCTCTAACAGGAGCAGTGTTATTTAAATGTCATGGTGCTGAGAAAATCAATTTCTATAACTGCTTGAGGGCTGATACTTTCTCCCACCTAATGTAGTTAACAAAAGGTTAATTTCACCTGAGTCTAATGGTTTAATCTTTTCCTAAAACCCATGAGAATAAGAAAGATCTAGATTAAATCAATTAAGAATTATAGAATCATAGAGTGGCCTAGGTTGGAAAGGACCTCAAAGATCACCTCATTCCAACCTCATGCCGTGGGCAGGGTTGCCCCCACACCAGCTGCCCAAGGCCCCATCCAACCTGGCCTTGTGTGCCTCCAGAGCACCACAGCTTCTCTGGGCAGCTGTGCCAGCACCTCACCACTCCGAGCAAAGAATTTCCAATGGAACTTGTTCATGGGCATGGGGAAGATGAAGTAGGTGGTAATATTTGAGGACCAGGAAAGCTGTTTCTTGTAAGTCTTGAAAAATAAACTTTTATCTAATGTCAAACTTTGTGCCATAACTATGGAATAATTATATTTTATACTTCTTTAAGCAATGGAGAAAGTGAGGGTTTACAAAAAAATCCTTGTGGTTATTCTTAAGGGAGTCATCATTTGGAAGTGACTCCCTTAGAAGAAGCTTCCGAATATGTGCAAGTAAAATAAGGGGATAGTGCCGTAGTACTGGGTAGTTCCAGGCAGTAAAGAACTATCAAACAGGTGGATTTTATACAACTTCTTTTTAGAACTGTTATGTAAGGGGATAAATCCTAACTCAGGATTTTTAGAGAAAGAATACAACTTGTTAGTCAATGTGACACTTGGAAAATAACTAAACCAAAATACAGTACCACTGAGGTAACACATACTCGTAAATGCAGTAGAGCATATCTTTCCTCTTAGCATGTATCCTAGAAAAATAGCTTGATGGGCTCTTAGTGTTCGTTACGCTCATGGAATACTAGTGTTACTGTCTCTAAAAAGGGCAAAACTTGTGATGGACTAACATTCACCCACCACCTGAAATAGCCATTTTTCATTTCTACAGGCTATTTCTAAATCGTGACAAGTGATAAGTGCAGAAAAGGCCATCCCTATAATACTGCTAACTTGAAAACCATCTTTCCAGTGTATTAGTACTGAAATATTCTTCTAATCTTATATTTTGATACTGACAACAGTCTTATTATTTTATTTTTAACATATATTTGGGAGATACTTGGAGAAAGAATGGCTACAAACAATGCCAGTTGGTGTCTTAATAAGCTAGTCTTGAACTCAAATGTCAAGTGGTGCCTAGATTAATTACGCAGGGTATGCTCATTTGCATTTGTCCTTACATAAACAGTCATTAAACAATGCAAATGTGTGTAAGCAAACTCAAAATATTTCTGTACAACACCAGTAATTTTTCATCCATGTATTGGCTTATGTAAAGTGTCTATTGCTGGGAATCCAAACTGATCCAATTCCAGCAGTACATTCTTGGATAATATCAGTCATGAGAACTGTGCTTGGTCAAAGCAGGTCTCTGTGTCCTCAGCAACAATGGCAAGTTACATATCAATCAGCAGAGCAAGCATGATTGTTGGCACCAACAATTAAATCTCTCATATTCCTGGCTTAAGTAATGCTTTGCTGCTGGAGAGAAAAATAATAATCTCTTGTGACAACACTTATGTCAAAGACTTTCTAAGATGGAAGTCTCATCCTCTGCATCTCTTTCTCCTTCAGAAGAGGAAAAATTAGAAAGAAAGAAAAAAGAAAAAAGAAAAAAAAACGAAAAGATCAGCAGAATTTCATTATTGATTCTTTTGAGAAAACAGTGATTGTCGTATTAGAAGTCATAATGTACAAAAACCAATATCTCTACCATCTCAATGACTGAGATTTCATAGACATCCACATCCATGCAAGGTGACAGGGAAATTTTTCTCATGCATACGTGTCAGCCAATATATGTGATCTGTTCAGAGCTTGTCATGATGACAAGTGGGTCTAGGATCTTCCCACATTATAAATATCCATCTATTGGACCTCAGTCCCCATGGATCTCACTGAGCACTAACCTTTGAATGAGTTGAGCAGAAGCTGCCAAAAGAGAAGCACAAACTGAAATAATGCAAACTCCTCCCCTCCCCTCCCCTTCCCTTCCTTTCTCTTTTTCCAATATGGCTTTTATATGGTCTATAACCTTCTATCAACAGCTATTTCCTACAAATTCCTATAGCATTTATAGTTGGTCATATTCTACTGCTATGCTACTGGTAAGCAGAAGTTCATAAATGAAGAGTGTGTTACTATTATTGTCATTAGAGTTAATCATAGAACAAATGTCAGTCTGAAGTTAGCATATCCCATTACAAACATAAAGGTATAAATGATTAATTTCATAGCCAATGGAGAACAAGTTTAATTATTACTTAAATACATTTAATAGGAAATTCTTTTAGACTAAGCTCAGTTATTTGGTGTAGACACAGACAGCTCATTCTCAGATTTATATATTCATATGTATGAATATATCCCATCTATGGGAATATGTATGAATATATACCCATCAATGGGTGTTGAACTAGGTGATCTTTGAGGTCCCTTCCAACCCAAACCATTCCATGATTCTATATAGGTGGCTGCAACAGGGAAAATAATATCCCTAGCTCAAACACAATAAAGGTTAGCACCTTTCCCCAGAAAGATGTAGCAGTCTTGACAGGACTAAAAGCTATCAGGACTGATGAGAAATGGCACTCTTCAGCAGTAAGAGAGACATCAGTGTCATAAGTGGGTACAAACACAGTGGGTGCATCTAAGTCTATTTTTGCTTCACTTGCAAAGAGATGTCTGTTCTGTTCACAATCTCTATTCCTGTCAATCAAGGGTAAACTTCTACATGCCCGTGTTCTGTGTTATACTATTGAAAAACATGGTTTGTCAGCTACGTTGTTTTTGTAGATCCAAGATTACCGCAACAGTAAAAGCAGTGTCTTTACTACTCCTTTATCTTTACTGTTTTGAATCTTGTCTGAAATACAGTTCTCTGTTACCCAGTAGATCAGATTTAGCAGAACCTTTCTCTAGCCCTAAAGTTCCTTTCAGAGGCAACTGTCTGCCCTCTGTTGTTCTCAGAAGACTGCTTCTGAAGTAATTTTTCTTTGCTAGATTTTGTACTTGGTGGCTTTCTCTGTCTTCATTGCTTTGCATCACTGTTAAAAGCTCAACAGAAAGAGAGATGGGAATTTTCTTGGTTAACTACAATCTTCACCAGACATTAAAGGGAAAAAAAAAAAAAAAGAACAAGAACTTAATAAAATTTATGCTTTGAATGATAACACTTCCTGCACAAACTCAGTGGGTTCAACTGCTATGGTGGATGTGGCATTTGTAACAGAAGTGGTTGAGTTTGCGAAAACATATCTAAAAAGCTATGCTGGACCGAGAAAGTTACTTGTGTTTGTAAACAGTAAACACAGGGTATCATAGTATGGATATATTTGCCTTACAAATCATACAATATGTTTTCACTGGCCTCATTTAAGGCAGGCAGAAGTGTCCTGTGACAAATACTAGCTGGGTATAAAAAATGTCATTTGGATTTTATGTTATTTTCTGTCTTACTGTCCCCCAGCAAGTACTAACAAGTGAGAGTTGAGAATCACAGCTTCAAAGATGCAGAGGGAAACTATCTACAGACACGGAAATTTGTGATGCGCTATTAAAGAATGTGTATTCCTTCCCACAGTAGCAAATGTGAAAAGTGATAGGTGTAGGAGAAAACATAACATCAGCCTAAATCACTAGGAAAAACAGGAGTAATTGTGTCTTATAAGGATAATGTAGTTTGGAAGGTACAGTCTGTAGACTCTGAGGTCACACTAGCTCAAAGAGATCTGAAAGATATAACCCAAATAAGGGCTATAAAATATAGCAGATGCATAGCAGATAAATTGGGTTGTGCAGAAAGCAGGAAAAGTCATTTGGAACTGAAGATTTATTAAGTGATTTCACTACAAGAACCAAATTTGTGAACAAAACTTGTAGGGGAGGTTATTTGTGTTGTTAATGAAAAACAGTTGGAGTATGATTTAAAGCAAACGAAGGAAGGAAAAAGGAATTCTACTGTGGAAAATCTTGTTTAGACAGCAAACAAATCTAGAAGGTCCTCCCATTTCCAGATGAAATCCTTTGGTTTTCTGTTAAACTTTATACAAAATGTATACATTCCACTGATATTAGAAGCTACAATCTTGCTTCAGAATTTTGCTTCAGAAGACTTGTATTTTTTTAAAAGGGATTTTTCTATCCAATACTTGGCAGTAACTCAAAGCAAATGTCAGAAGAGCCTCATAATTACAGCACAGATTTCAAACAAAAACAAAGCCAAGCACGGTTTGAAGGCCATAGTTATTTGAAGGTCTAAACTGTTGAAGCTGATTTAACTGTGTGAAGGTAACTCACAAAGCAAGTATTCTTGTATTTTGATTCGAGCTGATCAGTTTTTCTTCCATAGGAACTAGCACAAATACACCATCCTGCAATCTCCTAACCCTGCCACTAGTTTTAAGTAAATATATTGACGTGATGTTTACTGATTTATTTCACAGGGTGTTGGAGTCCAGTAAAAACAGAGGAAGTAATAAAAATTTAGGCTCATCAATATTATAGTATGTGATTTATTTTACCACACTGTTTTGATACTCTATATGTGGGCCTCGACTATTTTTGCAAGATACAATACAAATACAGAACAGAAATGTGGATTTTTCTGCCAAAGAGGAATAAAAGAGATTACTAGATAAAAGCACGCAGATGGATACAAAGGAATATGTTGGTGAAGGATCCCAGCATACATGGCTTATTTACTGCCAAGAATTTTGAAAGGAGAATTTTTAAGAAGAGCTTGAGGAATATTTTTATGTATGTTTATAGAGAATTCCCAGAACAGATGCAAGACTGTACCTCAGTGGGCTGCCTTGGAGAACACTGAGAGAAAATATATGGTTTGAGAATATGGGAATCTCTTAGCCAGAAAGACGGCAGAGCAAAAGACAGAAGAGAAGTAAGAGTGGAAAGACAAGACACCAAAGACCTGCATTACAAAGACTGCAGTAGGAGAGGATACAAAGACAAGACCTTAAAGTGGAGGCAAAACCAGTCCTCTCTGCAAAGCAAAGAAGGATTAAAATACAAAGAAACCAATGATAACATAAATTTAAAAGCCAGGCCAGCTAAGAGGGATTAAGACACATATTTTGGCAGGCAGAACTAGTGATGGACCATGATGACAGAAGCCAAAAGCAACAATGCAATAGACTGAAGCTTAATGAGGTGGAATGGAGCCAGCACTTAGATTTGTTTAAATACGCATAGGAATTGGCCTGCTGTCATTTTATCAAATATGACAAGACATAAGGCTGAATACCCCCAAAAACTTCTTCTACATCCACTACTACCCACATACCTTACTAATAATGGGAGCAAATATGGAAACTGCTGAAGTTAGTCTGAAGAAAAATATAACTAAAGATACGCTTAAATAATCCCAATATCATTTCAGTTAATGTCACCATTATACACAGCACTCTCCCAACAGAATGTGGAATATCTTATTTTGCCTTTGACAAGCTCAGAGAATTGAAAGTCAAAATTCAGAAACAATCTACCACACATCTGCTTTATTTGCACTTATCTCCATTAAATGGGAATGAACATCAGCAATGGCTAACAGTGTTTGATTTAAGGAGAGATGATACTTAGGACAGAAAAGCCTATAGTAGTTGATAATACTACAGTTCTCCTTTATTCTCCTTATCAGTTCCTCCCTCATGTTACATACAAATACTGAAACTGAGAAAGTACTGTCATAATGTGTAGCATTATTATCTCTGCATTCATGTCAGTGGAAATGCTAAGTCATGGCCTGAACCAGTGATTGAGAATCTGGTGAGAAGACAGGGCCAACCAAGGGGAGCTCAGGTGCAAGCAATGCCCCTGAGTGACTGGAAAGGGTGGAGCCAGGATCCACCCCTCCCCAGACCTCATTTAATGGTTGACAGTGGAGGTAAGGGTATCTCTTTCTGGAGATCCTTGCCTACCTGTGGCCTCCCAAGGGTAAGCAGCTCTTTCTTTGTTTCTGCATCTGTGGCTGCTGCACTTGGGCTCATTCTCATTTGCTGCAGCCAAATACTTTGCCACTCTGCTATTATTGCACTACTTTTCATCCTATTATAGCATTGCACTGTCATTCCTGGCCTGTCTATGTATTTGTCAATGTTGTAGTAAGATGGTTGATATCTTCATTGTGTAAATCCTCTATGGTTTTCCAGAAAGAAGGTCTTATTTTCAGAATTTATTTCTTTTCCAAGACCATCTCTCTGCATTCATATCAAAACAAGACAGGAAGAGAAATAAATCTGCAGAAGCCAAAAAGCAGAGAATGACTCTTAGCCATCCATTTCAAATTCATTGAGTAATAAATCATGATTGAGCAATAAATACAGATTAGTTTAGTTGCTAGTAGATAAAATAATCAGACAGTAAGTTTACAAATTATGCTGCAGACATACAATAAACTATTAATGTAACCCTACCTTATTTTGTAATCACAGCACATATCAAGCAAAAAGGCTTGCTATATTGCCAACACATCTGTAGTTATACCACTATTGGCTTTGGCAGAGAAGTCAGTGGGTATTTAAATCCAAAATATGCATTAGGCAAAGCAGAATGAGTAATGCTTGGGCTGACCATAAGGCATGACTGTTATTAAGTCTCTTTGAACTCACAGAGACTGAGCAATGTTCACTTGCTCTACATAATTTGGCAGCCACAGCTGCTGGAAGTATTTGTATGGTTTCTGTGTCTCTGATGGATGGTACCCATAAAATATAAACAGCTCAAACCAAGCATATGTAGCACTTACTTATTTTCATGGGACTAATAATTCACATAACTTACAATAAGGTAGAGTTACTTACAATAATATAGTTATGTTTCCCATAATACATGCAACTTGCATAGCATTGAAGCACACAACCTGATTTTGACTGCACAGTCTACATTGATATGACGTGCAGTTTACAAAATGTACACACGTACTGGGGGCACAAACAGTTGGGAGAACCTTAATCAAGCAAGACGGTAAAAAAAACATGCTTGGGCATAAAGTCTGATAATCCTGTAAGTGCAGAAGGAATGTTCCTTAGACAAAGTCTGTCTAGGAGATGTGGTACACCACAGCAAGTCATCTTTCTAGTGCTTGGCAGATATATCCTATGGATATCTTCCAATTTCCCTCTTTTACACAAGCACTTCAGAAATGGAAAATTCAAATGTTTCCTCAGACTACTATAACTTCCTACTGTGGCAGAATGATTATGAATTATTTTTTTTTTCCATATCTATTGTGTCATGCCTCTTTTATGCTGTAGCAATTGCATCTCTATTTTTGGCACTTTTGTTCACCTGGTGCTACCAAAATTATTTTATCTTAACAGTATTTTCTGCTTGTCATCTCTTTGATGCATTCATCTTTGCAGTCCTCAAAAATTTAGAAAACTGGAACAGGGGAATTTGTTGAAGACTGTGTGCATACACACGTGCGCACACACATGCACACACACACACACAAAATAGCTCAAATCTATTAACCCTTCCTGGAACTTTTTCTTCCAAAAGCCAGAATTATTAATTTGGATGTGTTCAAGGGATTATTCAAAATATTTATACAGGGGAATGACTTCTGCAGACAAAATCAGACTCATAGAATGGTTTGGGTTGGACAGGATCTTTAAGGTCATCTAGTTCCAAGCCCCTGCTATAGGTGGGGGCACCACCTGCTAGACCAAGTAGCTCAAAACCCTGTTCCAGCCTGGCCTTGAATACTTCCAGGGAGGGAGCATCCACAACCTCACTGGGCAACTTGTTCCAGTGTCTCATCACCCTCACAGTAAAGAATTTCTTCTTAATATCTAGTCTAAATCTACCCTGTTCCAGTTTAAAGACATTTCATCTCATCCTGTTGCTACCCGCGCTTCTAAAAAGTCCCTACCCAGCTTTCTTGTAGGCTCCCTTCAGGTACTGGAAGGCTGCTATAAGGTCCCTCTAGGGCCTTCTCTTCTCCAGGCTGAAGAGCCTCAGCTCTCTCAGCCTGTCCTCGTAGGGGTATGCTCCAGCCTTCTGATCATCTTCATGGCCCTCCTCTGGACCCGTTCCAGCAGCTCCACGTTCTTGTGTTGATCTGGGGGCTCCAGATCTGGATGCAGTACCCCAGTTGGGGTCTCATGTGAGCAGAGTAGAGTTCCTTAACTTAATGGTCATGCTTCTCTTGATGCAACCCAGGGTATGGTTGGCCTTCTGTGATGCAAGCAAAACACGGCTGATGATCTGATAAATGATTGCTAATTATTCTTCTTTGACAATACTAACTGTAACTTTCCTTAACTATGATGCTGAATTCTGATGTTTTGTAAGGGTTTCTCAGGTATCTCTGATGTGATGGAAATAATTTTTGCCTACAGTATATATGCTTATGCCTCAGTAAACTTCTCTGTAGTCACTAAATCCTACAACTGTTAATCTTTTTCATACTGAAATATGACAAAGAGATATGATCCCATTTTATATATGTGTGTATGTATGTGTATGCATAAATTTCTCTGTGAAAGGCAATGTAACTGGAGATATGCCTCTTTTGGTACAGCGTTACCATCAGCATGGGTTATCATCAGTATGGGCAAGTCCCATGAGAAGAAGGAAGAAGAAGTGAAGAGGCCAAGGTAATGTCCTTTTAGAAAATAACCAAGAATAGAATGAAGTTTCCTGGTTTCCTGTCAAGTTCCCAATCCGCTGCCACGTGGGAACAGTTTTCCCAACTGTTGTTTAATGCCTTTGTAATGTATTATTTTAATTTAGGTCTGACTTTTTTTATTTCTCTCTAAAAATAATAATAATAATAATAATAATAATAATAATAATAATAATTAAGCGTATGTTAACTACTTGATCCTACACTTTTAAAAGCAAGCTATCTTAATCTGATACAGTTGTAATTTTGAAATACAAGTATTTGGGAAAGATAGGAGAAGCTTCAATACACTTGGTGGAAATAATCACTTAATTAATTACATTTTTTCCAAAACCCAGTCCTGGGAAAGCAAACGCAGACAGCAATAATGCTGTGTCTAATCTATTACGGGATATATATTTTTTTTCTATACTACCTTCAAATTAAATGGAGAGGTAGTTTTGTTTGCATCTTCTAAGTAATTAGACTGTTAATTTACAGTAAGAGTTTTGGATTTATCAGAATAAAACATTTCTACACCTGAAGAGAATTAGGATACACTCAACTCTAACACAGCATGAAACTATCTCCAGTAGAAATCAGTGAAAGCCCTATGTATACTTAGTGGCTTTTGGGTGAGATCGTAGTGAAGAGTATCTTATTTCTGCCATTTTAAACTTGGAGTGATCAATTTCAAAACATAATTTTTCTTTTAATGTAGGGTTTTGGCACTTGAAGTATTTCATAGACTGGCAAGCTACACAGAACAATTACAATCGTCTAATTTGACTTGCCAGAGAAAACGGGACACAATGTTACTTGCTAATTTTGCTCTGAGCCAATTAACTAGTGTGACCAAGTGTACCTTTCAAAGACATTCATGTTTCACCTGAGGATTTCAAGAAATGAAGAATCCATTAGTTGTCTTGCTAGTTTTCTCTAACAGTTAATCACTCCCTCTTTAAAATATGCATACATCATTGCCTATCTGAACGGATTCGTGGTTTGAACTTCTGGTTATAGGCAATTCGGGTTTTTCATCTTTGGACTAATTATCCCTTCATTCAACTGGTATTTTCTCCCCATCAAGTTAAGTAAATGTCTTTGCCTCTGTAATCAAGTCATCCTAATGTATTCACATTGAGGAAGGGAAATAGCTTGTGCTTTTAAAGTGTCTCACTGCAAGACACTTCCTGCAGCCCCTAAAATAATCCTGAAGCTGTATTTTTCTCCCTTTTTCCTTGCATACTTTTCCCAACAAAGGAATGTGTGCTGTACTCCAACAGCAAAAGAGAAACCAAACCATTTGAATCGCAAGCCCTAATTGCACCAGTAGAAGAGGATGCAGATGGTAAGGTGTATGCTCCACCATGGGGTTTTCCACTGCTGCAAAACCAGGATCCTTAATGGAAGCACTGGGCCTTTCTCCACAGGCGCTGACTCTGGCAACAGCTCTGATCAGTCTAAGCTGGGAGGGGAGCCAGCTAATCCCCCTGCCTCTACCAGATCCATGCAGACCAGCATCAGATTTGTGCTCCCCCTTTGACTTCCTCATATCCTTAGCTGTTTCCCCTTTTTTTTTATTTCTCCTCCTCTTCTTGAAAAATATCTGGGACTGCCATCTTCTGCAGCACTCCTGTAACTCTGAAACAAAAAATGTCAGCCAAAAGCAGTATCATAATTTGCTGATGCATGTTAGTTACATTTCAGAGTAGGGAGGCAATGTGTGAGTCTTGTTCTTCTCTGATGGAAAGGCTGTAAGCAAGAATAAGCTCTAGAAGTTCAGTGTCCATTTCTGTGTATGCTGTTACTTTATGTCTTTGTTTAGAAGTTAAGTAGATGGAAACTAGTTTGGATGCCTGACAACGTAAAACAATGCCATACTTCATAAAATCAAAGTGACTGCCAGCATGGGGAAGAGAAGTGGGTACAAGAGATATTCCTTCTTCTGTATTAGTCGTGACATATCATGAAGGTTTTGTGTTTGTCATGGATCTGAGATAATTGTTTTTTTCAACTATTAACTACTCAAGATAACTTTTTTAGTTTTCTAGGCTGGTTTATTCCCTCCAAGTAAATCAAACACTTCTCCCTTTCTTCCCCTTATCTTTCTTGTTCTGAATCAGGTTACGCTCACTGATATTTAACAGTTCTGACAGAGCACTGAGGCTTTCTGCCTCTAACCCAAATCCTGCTCAGTCCAAATAATGTGGTGATGTTTTCTTGGGGTGATATTTTTTTCCAGTGATCTTTCATGACTTTGCTTCTGGATAAGAGCAGTTCCAAATTCTGCTTTCGTTATCATAACATTGTTTCTGTTGTTTCAACAAGTGTTCCTATTCAATTCAAGATCAAAACTGAATGCGTTAACAGGCTAAAAACATTCTAATTTCCATAGAGAAAAGGATTGAAATGTGCAAAATAGATTATTCAGCAAGTGTCCTTCACTATACAATTTTTTGTTATTTAAATACATACATAAATTAATAATTTATATTAAATATAGATATATAAAATAATTATATTTAATATAAATATATATAATAAATTTAATACAGTTATTTAAAAAGTGAAAGTTAGTAGCTACCAACAAGTGTGTAGAAAACCCCATTAACACAGAACAGAATCTTGTGCTCAGAACTGTACAACTTGTTCACTCTACAAAGCTCTCCACCTCTATGTCCTTCAGCATGCAATTCTCAATATACATTCAATTGTTTAAAAAAACACTCATAAATTAACTGCTACCTAAATAAAAATAAAAATCTTACAAATGCAGAATTTAAGTCCTTCTCTGCCATGGTGTTTATTTTATATTGCTTGTATTACGGAAGAGACGTGAGGAGGAAAGCATACGAAATCATTTATGTTATGGAGCAGTGTAGATAGGGTGATAGCTGCTATTAGGAAGTTTGCCTTTGTGTTTTGTTAAATGTCACAGTAATTCGGTGACCCCATTCTCACACTAGATCATTTATTTAAAGAAAAAAATAAAATTGTCTACCCTTCTTAAGCAAACAAAACTAGACACCAAGGAAACAGTTCACAAAATGGCAGTTTCTTCTGTTAACTGCATCAGACATAAAATATGACTTAAATGGAAGGCATTGTAATGGTGTTATGAGACCAGCTGGTACATGTGCTCTGTAAATCAAATAGATACCTCATCTGTGAGTCAGAAATCTTTCTGAGTGGTCAGTCACTCATAAGCTTTTATACCATTGTGGATCAGTTGTTTCTTAGGAATGTGTCTGTAAAAACATTAGCACAATCTGCAATATAAATCGGAGCTGCTCCTATGCTTGTTTTCTACCTAATATGTATTAAGTAATTCACCTAAATGTTTTCTATTGCTTTTATAAATTATTATTAGACACCCAAAGGTCAAGAAATATCCAAGATAAAGATGAAAGTGTAAAAGTAGGTGATTCTTCATTTGATACTATATTTGACAGGGTTGAAGGATCCACATGCTTGCAGCGCACTTTCTTTCTTCTTTGGGACATCTCACTTGTTTTCAGTTTCCTCTTTCCATTGGTTTCTGTGAATGACAGTTAATACTGCTGCTCCCCTGAGTCACTACCTAGCATCAGTACCACATTACAGGGGTCAAAAATGCATAAGGCAGGAATATGATGATATAAGATGCAAGACATTGAAGTTTTTGTTATATACCTCTGGCACTTGGCATTGGAAAGTGGCATTCATCTTTCTTCTCTCACTCCCCGCATGGTTTGCATCAGACAAGGATGTCATACAGACTCAGGAGTTTTAGAAAACTGATAGGAAGGAAAAGGGAAAACAAAAGAGTACTAGTGATATGGGGAAGAAATAGTGAAAAAAAATGAGTGAAGAATTGGCACGCAAAACCCATCAATGTCAAGAAGTATATATTAGAAAAGGACACGGGAGACAGAAACAGATTGTCAGACAGTGTCAGTAATAAGGTGTGCAGTATTATTATCATTCTGTCACTAGACAGGACTTGTATGCCTTCTAGCACAGGTGCAAACACTGGCACAGCTCAGTTGGTGGGGTGGCAAGATGGCCTAGACTTCTGCTGATGCAGTGGTACCTAAGGTTATGCCACCAATCTCCATCACCTGTGTTCTGTTCCTCCTCATTAATCTCTACTGTTCTGTAGATGCTTGAAAATACAGAGTTGAATAAATAATGCAAGAACATGACTGAGTCACATGTAAATTTGTGCTGGGAAATTTGCCAGGTTGCTATGGGTAACACACTCCACAAGGAGCATCTGCTCAGTGACTGTCCTCCTCAGTTCCAGGACATCCACTTGTACTCTACAGAGACACGGACAGTCCTTGCTGACGTGTGGGCTCAGTGATTCCCTTTCCAAATACTGGACATTTTGTATCTTCATTTTCTCCTGCCAGATCTGCACAATGAAATATACAACCCCATGTGATCCAATCCCATGTGAACCCCAAATATCACATGGAAATCTACGTCCTTGTATGACAACAATTTCTGCAAGACTAAGGTGGAATTTGAATAATGGCAATTATTCATAACAGGCTGTAATATTATGATGTTCATATCATTGTAACTCATACAGACTTTATAAACACCACGAATGCACAAGAACACCCTGACTTTTAAATACATAAGTTATAACTAGTCACCACTTTAAATACTTAGAAGCAGATCTTCAGCATTTCTTACCTGCTATCTCCCAGTGGCTGCAGAATGTGGCACTTGTCGTTCTACACTCCTGCTATGCAGGATGGACTTGTTCTAAACCAACAAGCTCATTCTACAAAGGTCTCTTTTTCCATGCAGATATTACCACAATGAAAACAGTCTGGAAACAGCCTGCTAGTTCAACAGTTCCACAGTACCCAAAGCCTGCTACATCAGATAAAAAACAGTGAATCTACTTCAAAGCCTGACTATTAATCTCAGTTAGCTGGGTACAGGGTAATTTCATAGGAAGAGTGTTTCATTCAGACATAGAATCAGGACATCTTTGGTTCCTGGTCACACTTTTCCTGCAGAAGGGTATTTTCCAGTAGACTGAAAAAATGCTTCCATTATGCAAAGTGACATGATATACACCAGCCCACCAGACATGCTGTTAGAGATGTGTTTTCCTGTTCTTGCATTTTCTCATTCTTAAGTTTTACCTTCTATAATGTGTATGGTTCAATCCCAGTTCTTTTTACTGGATCTGTGATCTTGAACTTTTGTCTTCTATTTCAGAAGCCCAGCACAACATGCTCAGGTTATGCCATTTTAAAAGTTGTATTTCCCCACAAATCATTTCACTGAACGCTGTGCCATCAGGTTAGCAACTCACAAATGGTTTATGAAAGTGCAGAGGTGGGAGACGGGTGTTGCGATGATTGCTTGTGTTTCTTTCTAGTAGGTCATGGGTGTCCAACATTTTGGCCTGCTCTGGCTACATGGAGCAAAGAGGAATTGTCTTGGGCCACATAGAAAGTAATTCCTCTTATTTATTTCCATGGAAACTATATCAGACATAAAGAGCACAGTAACACTACTGGTCAGAGCAAATTCTCATTCTGTGCAAAAATATACTCTATGGTAGGCAACAGCATTTGCTTTTGTGCTGTTGTGGAATTAGCTTGTAGCACATCAAAATGTCTCGTGCTGCACAATTTTAACACTCAAAAACTAAATGAATGTACTGAAGGACTGTTTATGTATTGCATTGTGTTTTTCAAATCACTATTTAAAAGTAGGCCACAAAATCTTCATTTTACATTTTACTGATGATTTTCGCATTGAAATAATCTACACATAGTTTAGCATTATTACTACTACAGCCCCTAGGACCGCTTGAGATTATGCAGGGAATGAAAGTATTTGTCACGGGCATCTCTGCAACTTGTAAGCATTCATACTAAGTTCCAAGTTTCTACATACACTTGTACTGTATATTCTGCTTATAAAAACTGTTGGTTTTTTTTTTTACTTTATTCAGTGCTGTAACCATCCATCTGTACAGTATTTTCTGACTAAATGACTGATCATACCAACGAAGATCAAAACGATCTTATTTATGAGTTTATAGTAGTCCAATAAGCAGAAAAGAAACCAATAAAGATTTATGATAATATTTTTTTAATATAGAATTTGAGAAATATGATAAAAATCCTTTACTTATTCAAAGTGATACAAGTGTCACAAATGTTTTTGACTCTTCAGAGAAGACCGACAAAGAATGTGTACAGGAACAAAGATTTTTTTATTTAATAAGATAGATCTTAGATGTTGTTTAAAAAAAAAAAAGGTGATTCACGTGATTGTAGGAATTATTAAGAAGGTCCACATTCTGTACATTTCACAGACACTTACAAATGTAATAAATTAAAATTGAACTTCTATTTTGCTATATGAGAAATAGCCTGAAGATAACTGAAATAAACCAGTGTTGATGCACATGGGTGCAGATGATGGTTTATCTATAGGAAGTGATCCAGGAGAAGATGACTGTGCAATCTTTAAAAAAAGAAAAAGAGAAAGCAAGAATACAAAAATATATTCTCTCAAAAATATTGTTAAAACACGTACTAGGAAAATACAATAATGGATGACACTTAATGGAATGGAGAATGTAATCGAGGTGCATACAGAGAAAAATTCTCAACACACTATTAATGCAAGAGAAAACCCATATAGTGTGGCTTTCACAGCCCTTGTTTGCACAGATGTGAAACAGGACCAAGTGAAATGTAATTACATAGAAGCAAATTGAGTAAATATATGATTTCCTACTCCATTTATTACATTCAAAGAGAAATTGGTAATTGTTTTAGTAAGACATAAATTTCATTGTTTTGATTTTTTCCTTTTTTCAGTAGCACTAAAGTATTTTTTCTTGACTGTGACAATTAATAAACACAATAAATGCTTGATTTCTACTCCAGTTAGGAATGGGGAAAAAAAAACAAAATTCTAGTAACTGCCTGAAAAATGAAACAGCAGACGAGATCTGAGAAGAATGGCTGGAAACACAGAGCAATTAATAAAATTGGAAGAAAAACAAAAAGGAGAACAGATACCTTTCATTAAACAGCTACAAAGTCATGCAATCTTGAGTTGACAAAAAAAAAAAAAAACAACCCTGAAAGTCAACTCATCTACAGTCATATGGAAAACACTAAAAAATAAAAACAGAACACAAAAGACCTAAGGACCACCAGAACACAGATTCCAAACTCTAGCTTTATTTCTAACCAAACAAGCCATAAAACAAGCAAATCAAGACAGTACAATGGTTTAGATGCACTTCTGACTAGCAAGCAGATGCAGGTATGTGCTCTCCTAAATTTTTTATTTGTGATCAGAGAACACCTCATGTGTGAAGTAGTGTTTGGTAACTGTCTTTACCATATTGATCATGGAGTGGTTTAATTCACATTTCTCAGTGAAAAGATGAAAACTGCTACCAAATACTCAACCCAGGATATCAGTTCAGGCTGTTCAGGGAACTAGCTAGTGAGGTGCCTGGAAAACTGGTTTTGAATTCTCTGGGATCCGTCACCACAGGTCATTTTTTGAGTACCAGCTCCTGAGAGCACTTGAACAGGAAATTTGACAATGTCCAAGTTTAGCAAGCAGGGTAGGAGGCCCCATCCCTGGAGGTATTCAAGGGCAGGCAGGAGGGTGCTCTGAGCACCTGACTGAACTGTGGATGTCCCTGTTCATTGCAGCGGAGTTTCACTAGACGGCCTTCAAAAGTCCCTTCCGATTCTAAGGATTCTATGATTCTATTTTCAAATTGCTTTATCAAAATGGAAAGCACGACTGGGCTTCCTAACATTCACTGTTCAGAGCCCTGTGTTTAGCCAATGCAACAAAATGCATACCATTACTTGCTATCACTCAAGACAGCACTGCTCTCCCCATGTCCTAGTTTCAGTCTACATTGTTAATAATGCACCATTTGACTGCTGCTGAGGGATAGACGCGTGCTCCATGGAAAAGAGCAATAGCCTTTGAAATGTGTAGAGGGGATGGGACACGTTGCCAGCTGTGTTGGACTGCATGAAGCTCATGGGTTGGACATGCCTGTAGTAGGTGAATTGTTTCTCTGAAACTCTAAGCCCCAGATATTTGAACAACTGTAGTGTCACTAAGAGCAGTTTCCGCAGTGGCTCTGTAGACGTTCAGATACACAGGACACACAGGAAGGAATACCATCCAGAGGGATCTGGACAGGCTTTAGAAGTGGGCCAGAAGGGACTAAGTAAGATTCAACAAGGTCAAGCGCAAGCTGTTGCGTTTGGATCAGAGCAATCCCTGATACAAATACAGACCAAGAGAATTACTCATTTGAAAGCAGCCTTGGGGAGAAGGACCTGGGGGTTCTGATGGACATGAGCCAGCAGTGTATACTTGCAGCCTGGACATCCAACTGTATCCTGCGCTGCATCAGAAGAGGGGTGACCAGCAGAGAGAGAGAGGGCATTGTCCCCTCTGCTCTGCCCTCCTCAGCCCCTATCTGGAGTACTATGTTCAGGCCTGGAGCCTGAAATTGATGGGGAAAGAGGTGGGGAAATTCAGGTTAGCCTAGGAAGATTTTATTCACGGAGCAGTGAGGGGCTGGCACAGCTGCCCATGTAAGCTGTGCTGCCTCATCCCTGGAGGCCCTCAAGGCCAGGTTGGACGGGGCCCCGGGCAGCTGAGCTGCGGGGTGGCATCTCTGCCCACGGCACGGGGTGGGACTGGATGGGAGTTAAAGTCCCTTCCGACCCAAACCGTTCTGTGTTTCTGTGCTCCAAACATCGAGGCGTGCTCTCTGCACCACTCCTTTCATCATCCCGCCTCAGCTAACCGCGCGACCGCGGAGTGCTGAGAAGCCGCGGCCCCGCCGCTACGGGCACGGCTCCACCCTCCCCCTCTCCGCAGCTTCACGCTCCCGCGCCGCCGGGCGCGAGCGCCCCTTCCCGCCCGCCGCATTGCCTGGCGCGCGGCCCCGCCCCGCCAGCGCCGCCCAACGGCGACCTCCCTCGCCCCCCCCTCTGCCTCCCGCACCCCGCTGCGGGCTGAGTCCGCGCCCCGCTCGCCGCTGGGTTCGCTCGCACACGCACACACGCAGGCGCGGCAGGGCGGGTGCCCGCGGCGCAAGCGGTTCCCTCGGCTCCCGCTGAGGCAAGGGCTGTTTCCGAACGCCTCTGCGCACTCCTCTCCTCCTTCCTTCCTCCTTTCAGAGGAGCGCGGAGCTTCCGAGAGGGCCGATGGAGCGGAACGGAGTTCGGAGGGGGGGAAGGGAGAGGAAGCGCGGGGAGCGCGCCCGCTGCTCTCGCCCCCGCCTGCGCCACGCTCCCGGCCCGGCGCGCCCTGCTCGCACCGCGCATGCACGCTCCCCCTTCCCCCCCCCCCCCGCCTTCGGCGCGCGCGCGCGCACTGAGTGCTCGTGCAGGAGGCGGCGGTGGCGGCCGGAGAGACGCGCGCAGACCCCCCCCCCGGCCCCCTCCCCACACTCCCCCTCCTCCCTTCCTCCCTCTCCCTCCCCCCCCCCGCCCCGGTCCCCTTTCCCCGTCCCGCGCGGCGGCAGCGGCGGACGGCGGCGGCCCCCGCGCTCCCCGGTTCCGCGCGCGCGCGGGCGGCAGGTAAGCGCCAGCCCTCCTCCCCCCCCTCCCTTCCTCCGTTGTGCTGCGCGCGCGCGCCCCCTTCCCTCCCTCCTCCTCCTCCTTTCCTCCCTCCGCTCAGCGCTGCGCCGCCTCCAGCACCGCGGCGGAGGCCGGAGCAGCTCTGCCCCGCAACAAAGGGGCGCGCGGCCGCGGCCCGGAGGCGGGAAGCACGAGGAGAGTGCTGGGGCGGCCGGGGGGGAGCGCGCAGCCCCGCGAGGCGCGGGAGTGCGGCCGCCGCTGCTCGCGGGCGCCCCCGGCGGCGGGACGGCAGCGCGGGTTCCCGTGGAGCGGCGGCGAGCGGGCCGCGGAGGCCCGGCTGAGCTGGGCTGGGCCCCGGCGGGAGCCCGCCCGCGCCGCGTCCTCGCCGGCGGGTGCGTGGAGCAGGCGTGCGCCCGGCTGCGGGCGGGCACGGGCACGGTGCGCAGCTGTCCTGCGGAGAGAAGGGAGCCGGCGCCGGCAGGAGCCGCGGCGACAGTCACGAGCTCAGATGGAAGTCCCGGCAGCAGCCGTGGTCACAGCGGTGAAAAAGCCGTGTGAGGGGACGAACAATAAGTAGTGCGGTGGCAACGGGGTGCTCCTCCAGTTTGCTGCAGTGCACCACTCGGGTGCCTGCTGCATACCGCTACAGAGTTTGGTTTCTTTCCCCGATCCCAAACTCCTGTGTGCTCACCAACACGACTTTCAGCTAGTTAATCATTCGGTAATTTATTCCCGTTTAGCAGATCTTAACAGATTCGTAGCAAAATTGTGTATTGTTTAATGAAAATAGAAGGTATCACTGCTAGATCGTCAGCAGTGGCACTTTGCTGTGTGCTCAAAAGGAAAGCAGGGCTTTCCCCAGCTTGCAAAGAGCTCTGAAACCTGTTGGAATAGTTAGTCGTGCCATTTGGTGGATTGGATATAAGGACCAAAACTTTATTATAAGGGTGGTGAGGCGCTGGAACAGGTTGCCCAGAAGGATGATGAATGCCTCATCCCTGGAGACGCTCAAGGTCAGGCTGAATGGGGCTGTGAGCAACCTGATCTGCTATAGGTGTCCCTGTTCATTGCAGGAGGGTTCTACTGAATGTCCTTTAAGGGTACCTACCAATTCAGTTTCTTGATTCTTTGATGCCTCATTCTAGATCAGCAGAGCCAGGCAGCCCAGGAAAACACACACAATATTTCTTAGTTTTCTTTTACCTGTTTCACATACTTATACACTTCCTTTCTGACTTTGACTTCATTTCTGATCAATCTTAACATTTGACTGCATAGCCCAAATAATTTTAACATTTGTTTCTTCTTTTTTTTCTTTTTCTCTCTTTTTTTTTCTTTTTTTTTTCAAGTCGATAGTTCCATATGCTGCAATGCCAGGCTTGCAAAAACTGTCTGATGCTGAATGTTTCTACATCATATTAAACAGCCATTGCCAAGGGGTGGAAGTTGCATACCTACCAGCTGCTTCCATTTTCATATCTGGTCAAGGGTAAATAGGCACTGAGGAGTGGCATTCCCAATAGCTGCATGACAGGTGATGGAGGGAGATGTCTGAACCAAATATTGGCTTACCTGATCAAGTAGTTGGCAACCCTGCCTATGGCAGGGAGGTTGGAGTTCTAGGATTTTTAAAGTCCTTTCCAATCTAAGCCATTCAGTGACTGCCTCCCTCCCCCATGTGTTTCCTGCCCCTATCACAAGGGCTGCCTGTTGGAGATTGGGACTGAATAATATCACTTCTGTATTTTTCAGTGTTTCTGTGCCAAATGTCTCCACCGTTTGTTTGAAAATCTGATATCCTGGGTGTTTCTTGACATGCATCCATCTGTGGCCCAATGTGCCATCCTTGGGGCTGCTTTGCCTGCTTGCCATGCTCTTCTCTGGTCTTGCTCACCTCACTCAGCAGAAAACTGTCCCCTCTTCTGGATGAACTAATAGATTGACTTTGTGGAGTCCTGTGGAGGTTTTCCTGGCTTTTGGATCTAGGGAAGAGTGAGTAGCAGGAAAACAGTCAGAGAAGTAAAGAAACCAGCAGAAAGTAAACATGATTTATGGCAACAACAGAACTATTATCAGATAAGTTTGTGCAGTCATCTGTAGAATCTGTCTAAATAATAACGGAGTGTTTTAGCACTGTGCGTGGTGTCATTTTAAATAATTGAAAATGCCATGCTTTAATGCACTAATGTAAAACAGATTTTATCATTTCTTAATATGTTAATGTTTTCCTGTCTTTCAGGCTGAAGGTGGCCCTTTGTAAGGGTTAATCATCCGTCAAATATTTAATAATTGTTTGTTCAGAAAATTTCCTGCATTGTTCATGGTAAGGCTTGTATTTCATATTTCACTTTTAGTTTGTTATGCTGCCACATTTTCTATGCTGTTTTCACTATTAATATTTACTTCAGTTGTAAGAACTATCATACTGTTGGGTCATGCATTTAGAGAAAATTGCAACTTCTCAGAAGAAGTTTTCAATTTTGGATGACTGAATCAATATATAGGTTTAAATAAATTAATTTCTTAATACAAAGAAAACACAACATAAATAGTTGTGTCTATAAAGCTTATAATCCAGGGGAATATTTTTATGTCTTTATTTCTAATTTCCAAAGAGGTTTCAAAGTAATGCTTTGGTAATCTGAAAGGCTTCTCTGACCCTGTTAAGCCAAATATTTCATTTGTTTTAGAGCGTAAATGTCATCAGCTGGTGGAATTTTATGACTTAGCCTGTTTTATCCCAAAACTTTCCCTTGTTATTTTACAGGAGTTTTTCATCAGTATGTCTGAAACCATTAAATATAATGATGACGATCACAAAACTGTGTTCTTGAAAACATTAAATGAACAACGTTTGGAAGGAGAATTTTGTGACATAGCTATCGTGGTTGAAGATGTTAAATTCCGAGCACATAGGTGTGTGCTTGCAGCCTGCAGTACCTACTTCAAAAAGCTTTTCAAAAAACTAGAGGTCGATAGTTCCTCAGTAATCGAAATAGATTTTCTTCGTTCTGATATTTTTGAGGAAGTTCTTAATTACATGTACACCGCAAAGATTTCTGTTAAGAAGGAAGATGTAAATTTGATGATGTCTTCAGGCCAGATTCTTGGTATTCGTTTTCTGGATAAACTCTGCTCTCAAAAACGTGATGTATCTAGTCCTGAGGAGAACACACAGTCCAAGAGCAAGTACTGTCTGAAAATAAACCGTCCTATTGGGGAACCTAATGATACCCAGGATGATGAGGTAGAAGAGATTGGAGATCACGATGACAGTCCATCGGATGTGACAGTGGAAGGAACTCCCCCCAGTCAGGAAGATGGGAAATCACCAACCACTACCCTGAGAGTTCAGGAGGCGATTCTGAAGGAGTTGGGAAGTGAAGAGGTTCGAAAGGTAAACTGCTATGGCCAAGAAGTGGAGCCTATGGAAACAACGGAGTCAAAAGACTTAGGATCTCAAACCCCTCAGGCTTTGACATTTAATGATGGCATAAGTGAAGTGAAAGATGAACAGACGCCAGGCTGGACGACAGCAGCTGGGGATATGAAGTTTGAATATCTGCTTTATGGTCATAGGGAACACATTGTATGTCAGGCTTGTGGTAAGACCTTTTCTGATGAGGCACGACTGAGAAAACATGAAAAGCTACACACTGCTGATAGACCATTTGTTTGTGAAATGTGTACAAAGGGCTTTACCACACAAGCTCATTTGAAAGAGCATCTGAAAATACACACAGGTTACAAGCCTTACAGTTGCGAGGTATGTGGAAAGTCTTTTATTCGTGCACCGGACTTAAAAAAGCATGAAAGAGTTCACAGTAATGAGAGGCCATTTGCATGCCACATGTGCGATAAAGCTTTCAAGCACAAGTCCCACCTCAAAGACCATGAAAGAAGACACCGGGGAGAGAAACCTTTTGTCTGCAGTTCCTGCACTAAAGCATTTGCTAAAGCATCAGATCTAAAGAGGCATGAGAACAATATGCACAGTGAAAGAAAACAAGTTACTACAGCCAATTCCATCCAGAGTGAAACAGAACAGTTACAGGCAGCAGCTATGGCTGCTGAAGCAGAGCAGCAATTAGAAACTATAGCTTGTAGTTAAAAAAAAGAAAGAAAGAAAGAAAGAAAAACACCCAGAAACTTTATCAAAAATAATATAAGATATTAAAATGAACAAAATCTATTGTTGATATACATTTAGACCAATAATTATCTTTTGGGAAAAAAAAAAAAAAACACAACTATTTTTATTGGATTTGAATGCTACATAGGAACAGAAGGCATTGTTCAGTTAGGTATTTTTAAAAATTCAGAGATGGGTATTGTTAGAATATAAAATAGTTTTGTTGTCATTAGCAGTATAATGCACTAATAGCTGATTTATTTTAAGGTTATGATCAATTTCTCTATAAAACAGGGATCATCACTGGAGGATATTTTGCTTTATCAAGCATGGAATACTGCATACAATATAGACATCAAAATCAGTGAATGATGTCTAAAATGCTGATAGCTCATGAAATTAGAAACAGAAAGGAAATACTTGTTTTTCATAATTTTGAAGGTGTTAGGCTTACAATTCTTGAGAAAGAAGCAAGAAATGATTCCCTATGCTTTTTAATTCCTCTTTTTTTTTTTTTTTTAATACCTAAAGTAGGTGCTAGAGGTTAGTACAGCAGGGTAATGGGGAACTGTGATCAAAATTAAATTTCCTCTTTTTCCACTCCCTCAAATATCCTTTCATTTTAACTGAGGTGGCAAGTTTTATTAACTAGGAAGTACTCGCTTTCCTAAAAAAACTGCATTATTCACCATGGTCCAGGCTGGCAAAGAAGGGTCTTGCACTTGCCAGTCCCTTCTATGAGGAAAAAGTGTCTGACTTATTTGTTTCTGTGTTAGTTCAGAAGGCCCCAGGATATGGAACAGAACTACAAGGAAAAAAGGTGCAACATGGAGAAAGAGCTATTTTCCTTAATGGGACCTGGTAGAAATGAGTTAAAGCTCATTTGCAGTCTGACATGATAGCTTCTGTTATACAGCTTTCACTCCACCTAACCTAGCACAGTCAAGGCAAAGAGCAGCACAGGAGGATTAAGTGCACTGGCAAGTGACCGAAATTCACTGCTGGAGCACAGGGCACAGCCGTGGCCTATTGCAATACTTGCCAGCAGTGTTCAGACTGGGATTTTCTATTTTAGCTGGTTTTACCAACTTGTAAGTCCTGCTCACCTTTAAAGAATTCCACCTTCTGGCACACTGCCACTCAGCAAGAGGGAGACTTCATTGTGTGATTTCAGTCTTAAATTGATTCAGAATCAGTGTTCACTTGTAGTCTGTTACCTGGAATTTCATGTCATGTTTTTTTTTTTGTTGTTTTTTCAGACAAGCTGCTGCTAGTTTAACTGTTAACTCGCAGAGTCAACAAAATAAGTCATCTTTGGATTGCAGTCTGCTATGTGTAGTTAACAAGAGAAGACACAAAAATAGTGATAATATGATCCAAAGGGATATCGAGCCTTTATTTAAAATTTGTAAATACTCAACTATTGTCAACACTTCATTTGAAGTAGGAATGGGCAAAAAATGCATTATTTTTTGGCACATGGTTGGACAACATTGATCATTTGCGATACCTATAGCATATGAAAGTGTTAGACCAGTTTCTGGTAAGTTACTGTGTAGTAGATCACATTTTGCATTTCTAAATAGAAATTGAAAATTGCATTTTTGGAACTGTTCTATGAAACTTTGCTTATTGTTTTGTTTGTTTGCTTTTATACAGCTTCGTTATTTTCATGTACCCGTCAGGTTAAGCAATTATCTTAAAATGCCAATAATCGTTTGAAGGCTGGTTTGTAAATAAAACGTGAATTTAATATTTTAGAAAATGTAAACTTTGGACCTTTACCAATATATTTTTTTAAAATGTTGCTTCATTTTACATTCAGTAATATTAGTTTGTAAACAAACTATACATTTTGTATCTGTGCAACATCAGAGGATGTGTATTCATTGCATTTTATTGGTTCTCTTGAGGAACATGATAAATGACCATTGTTAAAATGTTTTATTGTATATGATCACAGATAAAGATAGTAGGTCCAGAATGGGATCTACTTTTTTCTTTCTAAGAATATTGGTCTTGTTATGTTTTCTCGTCTAAAACTTTGTTCACTTACTTTTTCTTAGGTGTTAAAACTGGGGTCGCTAAGCCTGCATAAAACAAATCTGTTGTGAAAAGACTTCAAAAGCATAAAAAATGAAAAACCTAGATTTTCTCTAGGTCTCTTACGAAGAGTGCAAGAGGTAATTAGCTGAAACTGCAGCAGTGAACATTTACATTAGACATTATGAAAGACTTTTAAGGGGTAAAGAATTATTAGAAGAGAATGCCTGGAGAGGTGGTGCAATCTCTGATGGTGGTGATATTCAAGAACAGGTTAGACAAACATCTGTTAGGAATGGTTAAATTATAGTTCATTCTGCCTCGAAGCAAAGGGATAAGCTGAATAACCTCTGAAGAGCCTCTTTAACTTTGGTGTTGGGTTTTTTTTTTTTAGGATGCTGGGGAAGTAACGAATGCGTGCTTGAATGAAAGGAAAGCTTAAGGCCTACAGTTCAAAAAACACATATATTGCCCCCTGACATTTGTGCACAACCAATTGAGATGTCAATTTCAGTCATATGGAAAAGCAGGTTTGCATTAAAAGACTGGCAACTGGACATGTAATAAAACTGGATTTTGCATCAGAGTAAATTTTGCCATTGTTTAAGTTTACAGCTGTGAGAAATATATAAGATTACAGCTCTAAGGGTTGTGTGATGTCTGTGGCATTTTAAAATTGAGGCAGATTGATATTCAGGGGCAGAATTCAGAAACAGGTGCTTTTGTCACACATGCCCTGTACATGGCATAAATACTTTACATGAGACTTTAAGTGAAAACAGTGGAATTAATCCCACGTCATAGGTTTCAAGAGTCACACAGGTCTCCTACTAGTTTTAGTTGCAGAGGAGCCAGAAGAACACTGCATTTTCTAGAGAATGATGGTATTGATCATGAAGGCAAAGGTTCTGTTATTTTTATTAGGTTGAGAATTTCACTGGAGGTTTCTGCTCCATCTGTGTGTTTTAAGATGCAATCTTTATTTTTCCTTTTTCCTTTTCTCCTTCTACTTCACTTCTGTTTTTTTCTGTGAAAACTAATAGACTTTTCTTGCCTTTTCAAATATCTCTATTCAAAACAGGGCCTGGAATAATTTTGAAATTCTGGAAAAGGTCTTAGAAAGGAAGTGTCAAGATAACCTTTGCTGTATGCTGTTGTTAGTGTACCCTAAGTTAATCCTGTTATATGTATATGATCTGAAGGGATAGCAGCTTATGTGTTCTGGGGATCTGACTGTGAAACTCAAGTAGATATAACTGCTTCCTGACACTGCTGCTCAACACTTTTCTCCTGTCTTTACCAGAAGATGCTATGTACAGAAGCAGATGTATGGCAGCTCCAAGCCATAACGGTTTTCCAGCATGGTAAAATGGCAATGTCTTACTTTTGCTTTTAGAAGGATGGCAATTTCTTTTCAGAGCTCACAACATAGTGATTGAGATTCTGGCCAATTAATGGGAATTTTGCTATTGACTTTATTGGTGCTGAACTAGCCTAATATTTCTAACAGAGTTTGCAGACAAGGAACTGGTTAACATGAAAGATTGATAGAACACTATAGAAACATGGATGGCTAAAATTGCATTAGGTATGAATTAAATGGTCTTCTTTGTTTGTTGCTTCAGAATTAAGTAGCAAAAATATCATGCACGGAATATTCCTAAACAGACATTTCTCCATCTAATGTTTTTGAAACTTAGGCCAGTGATGTCTTTATTATGCACAGAATAGCAAAAACTTTTAGTCTTTTGTCTCATATTGAACATATTGTGGTGGCAGGTGACCATGGGGCTTCAGTGGAGGTCTGTGTATATTAAAATTAAGCTTAGAAATGAATAGTTGTTTGTATGATCAGGACTGTATGTGTGTGTGTATGTATATATATATATACATACATATATATATATAAACCTGTTCCTTGTCTGCAAACTCTGTTAGAAATATTAGGCTAGTTCAGCACCAATAAAGTCAATAGCAAAATTCCCATTAATTGGCCAGAATCTCACTCACTATGTATATAAAAGTTCTGATATATATAAAATGCAACATCATGTCAGCCAATGCTCTGGTGACCCAAATTGGTCTGTATGATTACTTTAGTCTTTCTACTGGTGTCAAAGTCTCCTGAATTGTAAAAAGATCTAAGTACCAGAAGGCATAGACTAACCTAAGGTGAAAAGAAATACTTGAAGTAATTGCTGTTCTGTGATCTTAACTGCGTGCTCTTAAAAACAGGTGTTTACTAAAGAGGAAAAAAGAACAAAGAGAGCATTGGAAAGAATACCTGCCAGCTCTTTTCCATTCTCAACCCCTCTTCTACACACAATTCTTACCAATATTTAAACAAACATTAGAATACTAAGCACTTCACAGCTGAGAACCTTAGTTGTCATTTTCTGCTCTAATATTGCAAAGAAAATGGTTTAGGCCTAGAGATCAGAGTTTTAAATGTTGATGTCATGTGAAAGCAAATGCCTCATGCTGACTTCAGTAGCAAAATGTTGAAGCATTCAGATTCTGTTTGTGTAACCTTGTGTAAGCTGCAGAATACTGAAAACTCATCAGAATTTTGCAGTTTAGCTACCCAACCTGGAGTTCTTCTGGAGATCTGACTCTGGTTTCTAATCCAGACATAGCTTTAGGGGTGCCTTCTTAATTCCAGTATGAAAAAGGATATTGAAATTAATAGAGTCGAGTGAGATATAGAATAAAATATCAGATGGTACCAGAAAGTCTACACTAAGCTTAAAATGTATTTTTAGAGACAGATTATCTATTCTGAAGACTTTTATCAAATTCTAGACACTTCTCTGTCATACAGAAGTTGTACATAACTGAAATAAAGTTCATCTATCACTAACAACATTTTTTTTTCCTGAGAGTAAGCATTTACAAAGAAGTACAATACAGCATAATTTCACCTAGAAGGCAGAGATAGATTAAAAAAAATATTCATTCTGTTAGTCCACAGATCACAGTGGTATGCTCAGTAAGCCAGAAATGTGAATGTTTCATTAAAAATTCCATTACAGCAGTCATTTGTCTCCATATAGAACTAAAACAATTATAATAGCATTCATCTCAGAGCAGATGAGGATTTCCATGAATAGATTTTGTTAAATATGTATTGTAATAGTTGAGACATATTTTCACAGGAATGATTCTGAAATGTAATATGAGAGATCTGAAATAATAGAATATCTAAAAATAGTGATTTATTTAATATTGATATCTTTTTGAAAGTATTTTTCTCCACTATCCTCTTTTATTTTTTATTTGCAGGCCTTACTCCTTCAGATATTTATAAAGCTCTGAAACTCTAAGACCTTCAACAATTCTGATAGGAACAGAACAGTGCTGAGAGCTCTATATGACAGAAATAGACTGAAGTCTCTCTGTTTTTCAACAATCTGCAGCTAAGTATCTAATTTTATAAAAATGAACTTGAAAAACACGTAGACCTTCTGAATAAAGTTGTTCCAAGTCTAAAACATTTATTATTAAAGTAAAGCATGAATATCAAAAGGCTTGGTCAACAGCAGAAATACTGTGTACCTATATCCCAGATTCCTTGTAGGGTACATATGCATATATTTATATAAAATATTTCTATACCTGGGATATCTGTGTACATTTAAAAGCCTGTAGCTCTTGAAAGGATACAACAAGATTGTCATGGGTGGTACTAATAATATATTGAAAATCTCAGTGAATGGAAATTCCGAATATATTTTCTTTTTCATAGTGTTGACCACTTTGCATAAATGTATATAGGACAGTAGGAGCGTATTGCATACTCTGCATGTATTTAGATTTAAAGCTGAATTTTAATGTAGAACTAAAAGAAAGGACTGGAAGTATGCACTGAATATAGATGGTCTTAGAGGAATCACAAAATTATGAGAATTGTGATAAATGATAATTTCAACTTTTCTGTTTTAGAAAAAAATACATTTTCTAAGGCAAAATCTTTTTTTTTAATTTAAAGACACACACAAAAAAAGCAAAAAACGTGATGACAGCAACAAAGCATACTGCTTACTTCTGTGGTTTTCTGACTTCCTCCCAGCAGGCAATTTATACATTTGAGTAATCTACATGTACAAGCAAGTTAGCTGCGGGGAAGCTCAATTTTTAGAATATTTTAGAGACAAAAATACTGAAGTTCTCATTCTTCACTAATGAAGATCCTGATTTTTTTTCAAGGTCACAGATACCAGAAACAGTGCTTGTATGAACAAATCCTTGCAGTGGCATTGCAGAGTATTCAGGCAAGAGGATGTCATCTGCTAGCATTCCACTCTAAGATGAAAAATTCATTTTTCCCTTTTGCTCTAGAAATTGAAATTAAAAAAAAAAAAAAAAAAAAACAACAAAATACTGTGTAGCTTCAGGCAGGGTTCCTCTTTGGGGGAAATTATCAATTATCTGCAGATTTTTGGTTGTTTTATACTTGTCGTCAGCATAACTGTAGTTTTACAGAGTAGAGTTTTCAGGACTGTGTATCTTCAGATGAAGATATTTGTCCTACTTGGCATACTGTCAAAGCTTGTTAATGTGTTTCTGTTGTGTTTAAGATTGCATAGGCAAAGCACAGGAGAACAGTTGGAGTAAAAGCAAGAATATACTGTGACAAATATTCTCAAACTTACACTTATTCAGCTCTAGTACAAATAAAATGCAAATCTGTATTTGCTGTATCTAATGCAGTTATATTTAAGAACAACTTTTCACTTGCTTACAAAGTCAGTAGCCTCAGATAATGCTTGTTGTTTTGTGTTCATTGTATTAACCTCCAACATTTAGAATCTGCATACACATTTTTTGTCCTGAGTGTGAGAACCATGGAGTATCTTTTGATATATATCTATCACAGTAGAAATGTCTAGTGGTATTGACTGTGTCTAAGCAGCATTTAATCTTGTTTTTGTATACTAGGGAATCTCTTTTCCTCGTGTCCTAAATAAGCCCATTACCATTCCCCCATTCCCATTTCCTTTTAAAAAAGATTAAAGTTTTCCTGAGCTGTGCTTAGGGCATTAAAGATTTTTTTTTTTCCCTCAGATGCTGATTACTTTGTTAACACATAAAGTGAATAGAAAGTTTGTTGTTTAGAAAGGAAATTTGCAATGGAATGTTTCTCTATGTTTCTTTCAAAACTTTAGCATTGTGGGTTGTTTTTTTTTCCTTTTCTACTTTAAACTTCATTTTTTGAGATGACAGTCTTCTAAAGGCATAGTTTTCTGCTTATGAAGAACTTGCTTCTGACAACTTCTTGGTAATTCCAGGTAAAGTGTTCACAGGTAGGCCAATAGTTGTATACAGAACGAAGAATGGAACTCACCCAACTGGTAAAGGGGATCTCTGGCTAATCAGCACTCATCAGGAAGCAGTGTAGGTCCAAAAGATGTTCTTCTTCCAGTGGCTGACCCTTACATGAGCCCATCACTGTGGCTGATCCATGCCCCCTGGGTCAGCCACACTCCTTCACTAAGTACGTGCTCAATCACCAGTTCAAGTCATGACCTAACAGTTTCCCTACAGCATAGCAAAGCAGATTTTGCATGGTAAAGATTAATTCTGCTTAAAGTGGGAGTCTTCTTTCTTCTCCCTTCCTTTTCTTCTCACAGAGGTGTAGTGAACTTTTGTGTCAGTGCAAGTGCAAGTGGGGAAGATATTTGGGCAGGGATGAAGATGAGGGGAAAGGAAAGGGAAGGAGCAGGACCTTCTCATTTCAACCGTAGTGAAATGGATGACAGCTTGCTCCTTACCACCTCCTTTTTTCATCTGGACAAATCCCATTCCTGAGTTATATTATTTTTTCTTGCTGAATGCTTTCCATTGAAGTCTTTTCAGCGAGGCTGAATGACATTTCACCTGTTTCTCTATGTAGAGTTTACTATGCCTACAATTTTCATAAAGATAATATATTGGATTCTCTGTGCTTTTTTTTTTTTTTTTTTTTTTTTTTTGTAATCAACTAGTGGCTATCACCTTGGATCCATAGAAAATCTATTCTCATTTTTAAAAAGCATAGGAACAGGCCTAGTATACTCTTTAACTCAAATATATTTATCATTTGTAGATGATAACAGAGAGAGGTAATGCACAAGGCCTCATCTCCATAGAAGAGCTAAATCATGAGATGTTTCCCTGTGTGTGAGTTAAGGGAAAAACTTAAAGGAGGTTGAGGTTTCAGATCCATGGAGATTGAAGTCAGCCTAAGTTGTGGTTGCTGCAATTTACTGCTGTTCCATCAATACCACTCTTGCAAGGTCTCAATGAACTGCATTATGGAGAGCTGAACCGCTTGAAAACTAATAACTGCATTGAGACGATTTTTTTTCTTAAGCTTGTTAGCTCCCTGAAGTACAGCACTCCACTGCCTCCACACTGAGGCAAACACTGTTTGCCTCAGTGCTAGGGCCAATGGAAGGGCAGCTCCAATTTAGATTGAATTTGGGCACTGTGAAACTGCCACATAGCAGCTTTACGCTTAGCCTGCCATAGTAAAACTGCAAATTTTTGCTAAGAGGGATAATTCCATTTTCTCCTCTCTTGTCCTCTCCTCTTCTGTCCTCTCCCTTTTCTTGTAGTGCATTTTGCACCTGTTTCCTCTCCATTGTTTGCCTCAGATTTAATGGCTCTTTTGGCTTTAGGATAAACCAACTGTATGAGTCTGTAATGCAGTAATTTAGTGCTTCAATGAGTTAGCTTTAAGTTGGCCTACATGGTCAAAGTAATTCATTAGATTTGATTCAAGTTAAGTGGCAGGAGCATATAGCAGTCAGGAGGAAGAATGGGACAGGACTTAGCCAACTTTGGCACCACATTCAGTGCAAGGGGATAAAGCACAGCACTTGTTGTGAGAGGCAATCAGGAAACAGAAAGGACCAGACACATCCACATCTTCTACGCAAATGCCTCTGGTGGCAAACTTGGGGAATTTTGAAGAGAGATATGTATGTGCTTTATTATTGGTTATGTTGTTTTGGGGACAAAATTGGGAATAACATAATTTGGAGGCTTGCGCTTTGTTCCTTTTTTTTTTTCTTTTTTTCTTTTTTTCTTTTTTTTTTTTTTTTTTTTGAGATGTCTCATACTTTTGCAAATAATATAAAATCAAGCAATCATTTTAGCTTTTGTCAATAATAAAAATGAAGTATTTAGCAACAGATTCTCTATTTCATTAGGTGATATCAGCTGATTTCATGCTAAAATCTATTTTCTGTCTTCCTAATTTAGGCTTCTCTGGCAAACTTGAAGTTTTAAAAATGAGTGGCTTTGATTTCCTTCCAGGTAGAAGTAAGTATGAATTCATTTGAAGGCCTGAATATAAAAATTATAGATATTTATGTATTTTCATTTGGTGCATCATATTAAGGGCTTTTAAATATATTTCTTCAGCTGTGTAGCTGATGCTGCAGAAGGCCTTATTTGTCCAGGGTTGCCTTCATTCAGTGAAAAGTTCTTCCCTAGAAATAAGTCATGTTCTCTGATATTTCTCACAATTTTATGTGCTTTACTTTCAACACGTCATTTTGTCCACATCTGATATGCTAATATTTAAATATTTTCTGTTTATAAGGGACTTGATATCACTGCCATTATTGTTTTGTTATTTTAGCCAGCAATGCTTTACTTGTTTGACCAGGAAGATTTTCATTTTTTTCCCAGTAATATATGTACCAATTATGGCTACTGCATTTTTGCTCTTAAAATATAGTATAGAATGTAAACCAAGACTTTAAGACAAACTTTGTGGAGCGAAGTACATGAAGCCCTATACTCTGCTAGTAAAATGAGACTTGATTTTTTTAAAAACAAATGCATTCTGACTGTCTCAGGAAATCTTGATCTGAAATGAAATAAATAAAGAAGTTTAACTACTATCCAACAAGTCTTTAGCATGATGCAGAATGGTATGGTCTTGTCCATGTCAGGAATTGATGTAAGTCTCTTCCTATGCTTTATGATGCCTCTGCTAGATCCGTTAAGCCAGAACTTGACTGTACTGAATTCCTTACTGTAGAACATAATTCTAGTGTGGTCTAAAGGCTCTAGTTATTGAACTATGACTCATTCATCAGTCTCAGTGGACAGGCCAATTGTATACAAAGGTGTGGCATGTAGGAGCAGCAATTACTTTGACTTCATTGCTTGTGTGGTGATGCTTAAGGTGAATCATTCAGTTTCATATTTAGACCGTCTAAATTTATCTAGGTCTTTGTTCCTTACTGGATGGCTTTTGCATTGGATTCATCTTCTCTATAATTTTTACTCCCATCTATAACATACAGATACCAATTTAACCTCTGATGGGACTGTAGGAGATTAAAACTTTAACAAGTGTGAGGCATGCTGTGTTTGTGGCTATGTATCAGATTTCCTAGATGGGGAATCTATAGTAGCTACAGAGACTCCTTGGATAGAAAACTTGCTTTGGGAATCCCTTTACTTCCTGTAAGATGTCCTAGGGTTTTCTGATGTTTAAATAACAGCAAAAAAAATTAAACTTCTATTACTCCTAGACTTTAACCATGCTTGTAAATCTTGAGCCTGGACTAATATCAATTTAATCAAGTTTATCAAATTAATTAAGAAAAATGAATAGACTAATGCACTACAACTCTAATGGGCACATTTGCCTCTAATGGTGTTCACTTTCTACTGACTCTGAAAATATTGCATGTTCTTGTTGCTAGCTTTTAAGATCTCATGTATTTGGCTGCTGGAGGGCTGTGCATTGCTGTTTTTCTGGAATACGGGTGGAAAGGTAATAGGATTTTTCTTCTTCCTACTGTGTTTATTCCTTACATCTGTTTGTTACAAACTAATTAATCACAGAGGCATTAATTGTTCTAGTTTAAATCTAGGACACTGAAAATTATGATCCCTGCTGTATAATGATTTGATTATACATAGGTTGCTTCGTAAGTAATGCCTCCTATTTCTTTCCATGGAAACTGCACCCAGTACAAAGAATGCAATAACTCTACTTGATAGACCAAATTCTCAGCTTAAAAATGCTGTTTTTCAGCATGGTCACCACCATTAGCTGTGCATTATTGCCAGCAATGAGCAAGAGCCTGCATGCTGTGCTCATACATCTCTGCGCCAGCGGAGGTGACCTGCTGTCACTGTTGTTACTGCCACTGCCTCACTGTGCTCACAGCCACTGGTTGGTCTCCATATATATTCAGCAAGTGTCAGTGAATGTCAGTAGGTGCCATTTTTTATTCATGGAGAAATTCAGTTCCACACACTTTTGCTTCATGCACACTTCCATGTCAGACACCATTCTGTTAGACTGCCCCTCTGCTGCCATCTATCGCACAGTCACAAAATTTAATGGAATATTTGCAGGAAGGTATTAAAATAGGAAGTTTTTCTTTTTGAGTAGCTCTTGTAAATGCTAAGATGTGTGAAGAAATAAAAGCTGTAGCGGAAACTTCTAATAAAATATAAAACTCTTCCTAGCATTTGATGTGGACATACAACATTTTCTATATTATCTTTTTATTTCTTTATATTAATAACTATATTAATTTATATTTGAGTGATTTGAATCAACTGTTCTTTCTAGAAACATTCAGATGCCTTCCTATGGAATATTAGCTGTACATTATTGTGAACAAACTGTTGAAACATTGAACATCTTCAGGTAAAAATTTCTTTTTCCTTAAAACATGTTTATTAAGCTGCTGAATCTATGCACCAATGGAATTGTGTTCCACTCCATTAGAATAAAGGATTTATGCCAGTTATAAAATGCAAAAATAGGTGGTTTAAAATGATGTCACTTGGCTTATCTGTCAATAGGTTTTTTTTATGACTATCTGGTTGATGTTCTTAACATAGTCCTCTCTAAATAAGCCAAAACTTTTTAAAAAATATTTGAAAATATATACATGAAATTTTTTTCAGTGTCCTGATGTTTCAAAGAGACTATTAGCTCTGCACTCAACTGGTCAGGATTTAAATGGTACATAAGGAGGATTACATAATTAACAGTAAAAATATATACGTATTTCTTTGTCTTTTCATATTTCCCCTTTCATACAATTTATTAAAAGAAACAAGGGCTTATACTGTATTTTGATTACATTACCTCATTTTTAAGATGGTTTATTCTCAAGGGATTTTTTTTTTTTAATTTTTTTTTTTTTTTTTTTGGAGTGATGTGGCGTAACTAATCTTGTCCACTGATCTGAAGTTGTTATTATTATTACACTGTTTTCATATCTGCACATTTGCTTAGTATATTCCTTCCAAGATTTTATGAACTGAAAGCCCACTTAGAGTTTTACAGGTAGGTTACAGACTTTTTGATCACTGAAACATACTTGATATTTTAAATATTTTATAACAAGCTCTACCATCATCTTGAAATGCACTCTCTTAGATGTATAAATCTAATTTCCTTTGAAGATATATGTAATAGAAATACATCCTGTATATATATATATATATATATATATATGTATTAGAAAAATGAGTTATCATCTTTATTGCTCCCCATGAAGGCTAATTCTCCATTAAACACATTAATGAAGAAGGTAGGGGCCATGTAGTAAAAACGCCACTGAATTTTCCTAGTTTCTTTCCAAAAGTCAGAATTTTCTGAAGGTTATAGGATACATATGATCTTTCTCATAAGAGTGCTGATTATTTCTAACTTTTTGTTTTATTCCTGTATTTTATGTATTTTACATATACTGTAGTTCTTTTACAATTGAGTTTATTAAGTAACATTCTTAAAGGGAACAATATTTCAGAGCATTTGAGAGTGTAATGTTTAATTTCATTAATTCAGTTGCTGTGTGAGATAAGTGAAAATCGTAGTGAAGATGAATCTTGAAGGCCTTCCCAAGGAGAAATGATCTTATAAAGTGTTTCAAAAATAATAAAACCTGTCAGCAGATGATTAATTTGACTTTGAAAATGATGCCATTCTTGAGTTATTGCTCGAGAATATAGCCAGAAGTATTTAAGCAGGTCAATGCTTTTCTGTATCTATATTTTAAGAATAAGGCCTTATTTGAGAGCTGAAATATTCCAAATTGAATTGGGAAGTTGTGTGAAATGCTTGATAATTAAAAGATGAAGTACAAATATCTGTTTATTGTAAACATATGAATGGAAAATATATTGCAAATTTATATGCAAACTTTCACACAAAAAATATGGTTTTAATCTATATTTTCTAATTAGCAGTGCTTAATCATTGTTTTTTCAAATTGACGCTTGCTTATGTAGGTTTAAACAGAACAGATATTTTCTTAAACTGTGTTTCATCCGACTGTTGTCTAAACTTCTCACTAGATTTGCACAAGTTCTCAGCCCGCAGGAAATCTGAGCATGGGTTTTATAAATAGAAGCAAATTAAAGAAGTAGGACAAAACTTAAGGAAATTTTTAAGTTTTGTCGTCTCCCACGGTTTGTTCTCCTCTTCCTTATTTAGTTATTTATTCATTTATTGATTTACCTTTTGGCCTTGATGTCATATGTCTTATTTTCAAATGCTAATGTTTCCTATTAATTCAAAGTGTTTCTTTCACTAGAGATGGGCTAGCAGGCCTGTGAAATCAGGGGAGAAATTCCTCCGCTTTCTCTTTGAAAGCTAAAATACTGTGACAAAGTCCAGCATGGCTGGAGCTTGTTAGCAGGTCAGCCAGCTTGTGCTGAAAGCAGTGCACCCCGAAATGTCAGACAGCAGGGCTATTGCCGAGAGCTAATTAGGAGCAATTAGCAGGTATCCCTGCTGGGCAGATCGCTATTACCTTTCTCCTCCGTACCCTTCCCCCTGCTGTCGTTGTGGAGAAGCGAGTTGTGGCAGCGATGCTTCTCAGAGTGCGTGTGTGTGTGTGTGCGTGTGTGTCCGTGCGGGCGCGCTGCGCCTCGGCCCCCTCCCCGCCCCGCCGCATTGTGGAGGGAGGGACCGCGGCCCGCAGCCGCCTCCGCCGCTGTGCGGGGCCGGCAGCTGTCCGAGGTGCTGAGCCGTGCGGGACCCAGAGCTGTCCGAGGTGCTGAGCCGTGCGGGACTTGCAGCTGTCCGAGGTGCTGAGCAGCGCCGCGCCCGGGCGGCATCATGGTGTTTGCTCCAGGTAAGGGCAGCCGCTTCGGGTGCCTACCCCAGGGAGACCAGCGGGAAGGCCCTGGCCACGCCGGAGAGTCTGCTCCGGGGTCTGTGAGGGAGTACCAGCTGAACCAGTACTACTCCCGGGCAGGGATAGGAGGTTTCATAGGGAGGGATTCAGCTGAAGGCTATAAGGGTCACCCCTATGGTTTCCATCAGGGGCAGGAACCTTAGACTGTGCAAGGGATTTTGCACATTAGACTGCACAAAAGAAGGGTCAGGGAGGGGAATGGAGCCCTGCAATGCCTCGGGAATGAATACCCCCAGCACTGGTGGCTGTCAATGAAACAAGCTCTGAATCTCTGGAGTTATTTTACAAAATTCCACCATCACTACTCCCCCCTCTCCCTTACTCCCCTCAAAGTATTAGAATGGAAGTGTACAGAAAGTTTGTTCAGGCCAGTTGTTACTGGAACAAAATTGAAGACTTCAGCAGAATCTCATGTGACACTTCACTCCGTAAGGGAGTTTTGCTACATGGTATAACTATACTACACCAGAAAGAAACTGTAGAGAACCTGCATTGGATATAATACATTCTGCTTACAAATCGGCAATTTAGTGTTCAGATATGGATCAGAGGCCTAGTAGCTCTCAGATATTATAGTCATGCATAACATTTTCTGTAGTGAAATGACTTGCAATTCATTTCTTTAAAAATGCATAGCTGTCAGTAAATTAGTGAGTTGATAGAAAAGGGAAAGTGAATGCTGCAACTTGACAATGAAGAATTATTGAAGCCTTTGTTTTGCAAGGCTTACAGAAGTTTTGCTTTCCTTTGAAATTTCATGTCTCATCTGTGAAGGGGTAAGAACCCAAAACTTTTACACCCTCATTAAATGAAAAATATCTTGGGGTTCACTTTCCTAACTGAACAGCTGAAAGGCTAACCTTTTGGGAGATAAATATCCCCCTTCAATAATCAGAAGTTGATTTTGCCTCTCATACTGCCAAGTTGTGGACTAATATACTGCTTTCCCATAGAGACTGTCCTGAAGTTGGGATCAAGTTGTTTATCTCAATAGAACCAGCCACTGTTTTATGTAGTATACCTTTCAGTATTAGTGGCTTTTTTCTGAGTTCCTTTTATCTGACAGTCTGTCACCACTAACTGAACTCATTTTTTTTAATGCACTATGGGACTGAAATACTGCAGGATGAGATTACCTCTAAAATAATGTAAACACATTGTTTTTTGTCATCCTCAAAGACTGACAATTATTAAAAACCAGATCTCATTAATAGCTGCATAAATTGTTCTTTTCACAACCCTAATCCATAAAGAAAAAAAAATCTGTCTTGTATAATCATTCTTCTCAGCCAATTTTTACATAAAGAAAAGCCCTTGGTTTCCTTGCAAATGTCATAATGTACGTAGGGTAACTAAATAGGAATTTGTAGAAGAGATGATAAAATAATCAGAGAGGTTTGACAATCTACAGAGCAAGCCTGAGTGGATTACATTTTTGCTGATCGCTTTTCTTCACTGTCAGTCAGCTTTACCCTGGCATTCTCTCTTGTTTCTGTATGTGTACATTTTAAAAATTAGGGGTTTGTACATCTTTAATATCTTCATAGTAGCTATAGATGTGGCTATATCACATAGGAACTCTATACATTTAATAAGAAGTTGGGTTTCATTTTCCTGTCTTAACTTTCTGATTTTATTGTACTGTGATGTATGACCTGATCTCAATTTCATTTATTTGTTTCTTATGGTCTGGGGAGGAGAGGGGGGGAATAAGATGAAATAGAAAAAGATTTGTCTATTTATAAATGGTTGTACATTATATTCTTTAGGCTCAAAATTATAAACATGCCTCAAGAAGAGGAAAAACACTGACACACAAACACACACGTGCACACAAAGAAAACAAACTAAAAAAAAAATCTCTTCAAGGAAAAGTTTGTTTAGCTGAAGACAAAGGTAATTATTTGCATGTCAACGAGATGAGGCTTTACATTATTGAAGAGCACTGATGTGCTATGTTCATAAACTAGCAAGTACAAAAGCCTATCAAATTAAAACATAAGTTTTTAAAGGTGAAGACAACTACCTATTGATGGAATAGAGATTTTACTTTTAATCTTCAACTCTTTTTCCTAGCTCTTACAGCCAGCTGCTAAAAAACAGCAACAACAACAAATCCTACAACATTAGACCAAAATAAACCAAAACCACAGGCTTCATTATTATTGAAATGGATTTGTAAAAAAATATTACATAAAGATCATTATTTTACTAAAGAAAAATAGACATTCTTGCTCACTCTGCCTTGTTCTGGCAAGTATGTTGCTGCTTACAGGTGTGTTCAAAAAGCAACTATTCATATCTGATCTTCCTTCACACCCAATTTTCACTAACTTTGACTCTTGGTTTAAATTGCTGTATAGTCTGCTGGAGAAAAGAACTGAGAAGACCATTTTTCCTTGTATGATTTAATCTGACTGGAGCTTCATTGTACTTTCCTATGGAGTTTAACTTATGGTAGGTTGGTATAGGAAATGAAATGCCAACGCTAGAT